AAGAAGACATCAGAGGCAGATTTTTCGATGGTTTCATTGGACTATTTTGAAGCTACGATATCAAATTCAATTTCAAAGTTCTGAAGGTGATTTCAAGTCGTATTCCTCCCGAAGAAGCTTTTTTCGTCGACCTCTACAAAAAATCACATTTTACGTTCTAATTTCTGAACGAAAAACCGAATATTTCCGAAGGCAAGTACTTTTAGACACTAAAAACTAGGTTTTGTGTTTCGGGCCAGGAGCTATTTCACTTTCAGTCAGCTGCTTATGATCTATAAGGCACAGATTCGACCTGTCCGGGAATACTGTTCCTATATTTGGAGTGCAGCACCCAAACATACCCAGAAATTCTGGATTCTGTCCAAAAAAGGTCCATTCGTCTCGTGGGTGAAGCCTTGCCCACAAATTCACTCACTTCTCTGGAACACCGTAGAAAAGTTGGCGATCTGGCTCTATTTTATAGATATTTTCATGGTCGATGCTCTTCTGAAATATCAACAATTGTTCCTCCCTTGGCAGTCCCCGCGAGATTAACCCGTCTAGTTGATTCTTCGCACCCCTTCGTGGTCACTTTGGAGACCTGCAGAACATCTCTTTCCAAAGACTCGTTCATCCAACGAACAGCGAGGCTCTGGAACACATTGCCAAGGGAGGTGTTCCCCGAGGCATATGACCTCCAGAAATTCAAGAAGAACACCAATTCCTACCCTACTTCCCTTGGTTCTCACGATGTTCTCTGAAAATTACAGGATATTCCTTTTCGTGGGAACCAGAACATAAAAAAAAGTTGAAAAGGACAATACTTCGTCTGATTCAGATCAAATTCAATTTTTTATATACCACACTTTTATAACAGTTTGTTTCTTGCGTTTAAACTCGACTCTATTGAGTAACTATACATATATAACTGTATTTTGTGATATTTGTGAGTATTTTTGAATTGAGAATTAGGAATATGATTATTTTTTACGAGAATGTTTGGAATAGGTTACTTTTCTGTTCACTAAAAGTATACATAATGTTTTGACGTCAAAGGTTTATTTCATTATTGTTGAGCTATGTGGTAGAAACTATAATTCCAATGGGAATTGCAAGGAAATCTACTTTATAAGAAGATACAAATCTGATTGACAATATTTTTATTATCGACAGACAACTGAACTAATATCAATAGAATGAATGGCACACTAGATCAACATATACAGGATGATAATTTTATAAATTTAACACTTCCTCCTAAAATCATCCTGGATATTTGTACATCATTCGTCAAGGTTCCGTACACACTGTACACCAAGCAGTTTTCGAAATTCCAAAAATTTCACTCTCGATAAAGGTTTTGTCAAGAGGTCTGCTACTTGTTCTTCACTAGGAATGAACTCCACTTCCATAACGCCTTCTTGATATTTATTCCGTATGAAATGGAAACGTATTTCGATATGTTTCGATTTCTTATGAAACTCAGGGTTTTTCACAAGTTTAATAGCACTTGCACTATCCATATATAGGGTGACATGTCCATCAAATGAAGTGATTTCACCAAGTAGACGTTTTACCCAAATCAATTCCTTGGTTGCCTCGCTTGCAGCAATATATTCTGCCTCAGTGGTGGAGAGAGAAACACTCTTCTGCTTCTGACTGAACCAGGTTACTGCAGTTCCAGCATACATACATACAACACCAGATCTCGATTTCCTGGAGAGTGTGTCACCAGCGTAGTCGGCATCACTGTATACTCTGAGAATTCTCTGATTTTTCGCACTGTAGAACAATCCGAAATCGATGGTTCCTTTAAGATATCTCAATATGCGTTTGACAATACGCCAATCGGATATCTTAGGTGAACTTAGTTTTTCTGAAACTATACTTATGGCGAAAGCAATGTCTGGACGAGATCCAGTCATAATGTACATGAGGCTGCCCACTGCTTCACGATAGGGTACACTGCTATCCAATTCTTCACTAGAATCACCAACAAGATAAACTCCAGTATCACAGGGTGTTGCAATTGGTTTACAATCTTGCATATTGAAACGATTCAGTACTTTATTTATGTATATACTTTGGTTTATGAATATACTACCGTCACTGAATCTGTTCATCTGCAGACCAAGATAACAAGCAAAGTCCCCTTCAGTGATCTTGAATGTATTTCGTAATTTATTGAGAAATGATGATATTTCTCTATCATCGCTGCCTGCAATGAGTCCATCATCGACATATATAGCGACCAGGAGTTTTCGATTATTCCTCACACGGATAAACAGGCATGGATCCGATGAACTGCAGATCATTTCTTCATTTTTCAAGAAGTGTACAAAACGGGTGTTCCAGCATCGTGGCGACTGCTTCAAACCATACAAGCTCCTATTCAGCTTACACACTCGTCCTGTATTGTCATTGAATCCTTCTGGTTGATTCATGAATACTTCCTCCTCAAGTTTACCGTATAAAAACGCTGTTTTTACATCGAATTGTGAGAGTATCATGTTTTCTGAGGCTGCTACACTGAAAACAATCCTGAGGGTATCAAAACGAGCCACGGGGCTGAAAGTCTCATTGTAGTCTATACCCGCTTTTTGGTTGAAACCTTTAGCTACCAGCCTAGCTTTATAACGACAAATTTTACCATCTGAATCTGTTTTCACCTTCAGAACCCATCGATTAGGAATGAGTTTACTTCCTGGAGGCGAATCAACCAAACTCCATGTGTCGTTTTCTGCTAAAGATTGCATCTCTTCAGCCATAGCATTCTTCCATAGTTCTGCGTCACTTGACTTCATTGCAGCTTCATATGACTGTGGTTCATCATATTCTGCAAATAATACATAGTCGTTCAAGTATGACGGCATTCTGACTATACGTCTGCTGTCATGATGCTGTAGGGATTCATCGTTTCTTCGCTCATTTTCTTCTTCCTCATGCTCATTTTCTTCCTCCTCCACATTGACTTCGCTCACTGGATCATTCTGCAAAGTCGAAACTTCTTCTTGGATTGGAAGTCGTCTCTCTTGGTTCTCTCCTGCTACTACTTGCATGTTCATCCTCAACTGTACCTTGTCCTCTATATCTTCCTTCATTTTAAGCTGTACCTTTTTCTCTACAACTTCTTCGGACTTGAAGATTACATCTTTGCTCATAACAACTTTGTTTCCATCTGGAATCCATATACGATAACCATCTTTATCTCCACAATAGCCGACGAATCTACCTTCAGTGCTTTTCTTGTCCCATTTTCTCCTCGTTTGTTTAGGCACATGAACGTAACAACGAGTACCAAAGATACGTAGGTGACTAATTGTTGATATTTCTTTGCTTTGCCAGAGCTCAATGGGAGATTTTCCAACTACTGTTGTTGGACCAGTACGATTGAGAACATACGAAGCTGTATTCACAGCTTCTGCCCATAGCTTTATCGGCAAATCTTTTGTATGCAGCATGGTTCTTGCACTTTCCACGAGCGTTCGATTTTCTCTCTCTGCAAGACCATTTTGCTGTGGACTGTATGGCATTGTTATTCGAATAGAGATTCCTTTTGATTGCAAGATGGCTCTAACTTCGGCGTTGTCGAATTCTTTACCGCCATCACTCAGGAACTCTACGATTCTATGTCCTGCAGCATCTGTTTCATTCAGGAATATCTTGAGACTGCTTGCAACTTCAATCTTCGACTTGATGAAGAAAACCCGCCGATATCTCGTGAAATCATCCTTGAAACAAACATAATACTTGGCTCCGCCTAGTGAATCCACTTGCATTGGTCCACAGACATCAGCATGGATTATCTCTCCTGGTTTGGAAGGTCTGTTTTGTCTTGATCTGAATGGGGATCGATGTTGTTTCCCCAGAATACAGCCTTCACAAAGCATATCACCACAATCACGCTGTATACCAATGTTATGACGTTTCAAAATACTTTTGACATGATGTTTATTTTGATGACATAACCTTTCATGCCAAAGTTGAAGGTTTTCGGATAACGAAGTAACATAAACCTCACTAGAATTCTCCGGTTTGCAAGCAATCATATTCAGAACATACAACCCTTTCTGGTTTCTTCGTCCGCTCAGACGAATCACTCCACCTTTCTTGATAAAACAGCTATCCTGGTTAGCTTCAAAGTGGTAACCCTTGTTGAGAGTTTGCCCAACAGAGAAAAGGTTTCTCTTGATATCAGGTACATACCACACGTTTTCAAGATGATTCATGAACGTTTTATTGTTTACTTCCATCTGAACATTGATATTTCCTTCACCGTAAGCCAAAATAACAGCACCATTACCGACCTGAACTTCTTTTGGAGTTACAAAGGGTTGAAAATCGATGAAATATTCATTGTTACTTGTCATGTGAGCCGATGCACCTGAATCAGCTAACCATTGCTCGTTGCTTCCAACATTGTTCTTCGTGCTCTTGATCACACTAGAAAATGCAGCTCCTTCAGCATCTGCCTTGTTTGCTTCATCCAAGCGTTTCTTATTTGGACAGTTCTTGGCGAAATGACCGACTTCATGACATTTGAAACATTTCCTAACTGGTTTTGATGATCTTCCTAATCGTTTCGTGTTAGATTTAGCAACAAAAGCAGTTGTGTTGTCATTGGGCTTCACAGGCAATCTCATCTCAATCAGGCGTAAACGTTCAGTCAGCTTGTTGATCGTTCTCTCGGTCACAGAAACTGATTCCCAAACACTTTTGAATTCGAAGTACTCACATGGAAGAGTAGACATAATTCTACTCATTAGCAACAATTCTGGTAATTCTACATGCACTAGCTTTTTCATTTCATCGTTCAGTTCACGAAAATTTCTTTGGAGTCTAGCTATGTGAGTAGCTATGTCTTCAGAAGGATCCTTTTGTGAACTGAAAAACTGTTCCATCAGTCTATCGATCCGTTGTCCAGAGCTCTGTTCATATACAGACAAAAGTTTCTCCCATGTAGAATTCGAGGTGTCGCAAGTCGCTGTTAGTTCGACATTTGCGTCATTCATGCTACCAACTTAAATCAGCTGAGCTAATGCATCTAGTTTCTTGAAACGTTTCAAATCTGCATTGAACTGAATGATAGCTTCTGGTGTAGCAATATCACCTGGATCACCTGGAGATTGAATCTCTCCAGTTGTAACTTCGAGAACTTCATGATGTCTCAGCAAAAGCTCAATCTGTCTTCTCCATTTTGTCCAATTTGATGCTCCTTCTAGTTTTGCGATATGTGCTTTGAACTCCATATCGTTATTTCTTTCCTCTCTTGTTTCTGCACTACTTTATGCGTAGCCTGGGCCCGTAACCTGTTGAGCTATGTGGTAGAAACTATAATTCCAATGGGAATTGCAAGGAAATCTACTTTATAAGAAGATACAAATCTGATTGACAATATTTTTATTATCGACAGACAACTGAACTAATATCAATAGAATGAATGGCACACTAGATCAACATATACAGGATGATAATTTTATAAATTTAACAATTATCCTTCCTTGGAATTCGTGTAGCATAAAATAGATATTTTCAACAAGGTATAAACTGATGAAATTGAAAACGAACTGGCAACCGTGGTCCGCGCGGAGAGTGAGTTGACAACAACTGTTATTTGATGTTGTCAAATTAATTAATCACGAAATCCGATTGATTTCACGTGTGAATAGGATCGTGAAAAAATGTAAAATGCACCTCGGCGAAAAATTGTCAATTGTCTCGACTATAATAGACACATTTTTGTCCTTGGTACATAAACAACTATTATGTTGCGTACCTATTCATCAACACACTTTCATTAATTTATTTTCAACTTGTTTTTTAGCTTGGCTATCTAGAAAAACGTGTTTTTTTTAGTATTTGAACTACAATTTATTATTTGTAGAAACAGAGTACTTAATAGACTGATAGTATATAATATATACTGTCAAATTAACTAATACTTATTATTATTACCTCGAAGAGAGAAAAATTCGATGAAGAATCCTCATTAACTCGCTAGTTGTTCAATCATGAAAAACAACTATCTCTACCTGTGCTGTGGCTGATGTGAAAATGACCATTAATGTGGAAGTATTCCCAACAACATATAATCTCCAAAAGTTCAAAAAAAATTCCAATACCTACCTCCTGTCCCTATCCTCCCAAGGAACGCACGATGTACTTTGAACATTATAGGGATTCCCTTTCGTGCGCTCCAAGCGATAAAAAAAAAAAAAAAAAAAAAAAAAAAAATTCGATAATAATTTGTCGTGGCCGTATATATCTACCTAGTGAAAAAAGGCAGTACACATCACATTTAACTTAAGTGTTCCGTGATTATGGGTTTGACTTCCCGACCCACCTCTTTTAGCTTTATTAATTTCAATTTAAACTGCTCTCCAGTTCACTACCTATATCTACCTCTCTATCTCTCTCTCAACCAGGTGGGGCATATTTGTTTTCGACACGTGATAATCAACTAATCAGGGGTGCAATCACCCAAGACCAGGGGCGTACCTGGAGGAGGGACATCATAATATTGTTGTTCATTGCCTAAATCTTTTGGGTTCTTCCTCCTCCGCTCTATACAGGCAGTGGTAGTGGCAGTTCTTCAGTCCAATTTCAAGTGAGCAATGCATGACTTTCTACAAAAAGATTATTACACTCACATTCTTCCTGAAACCACCTTATATATGTCGGCGTCAAATAGTGAAATTCGTTGTTAGGAAGCAGTAGTCTCTTCTGTTCTCTCAAGTAATTTTCTGAAGAATATACCTTTTAGGAAGAAGGTTCATTTAGGCGGAAAAATAGTCTCCCGTCTTTTGCATATGCAGAAAGGATATTTTCCTTCCTCAGTCTTGAATTAAGCTAATTCTCAATTTGAAGGCATTTGATGTCTTCAAAAGTGAGCGAGATATTTCGATCAAAAGAAGAAATAATAAAAATTTGTCCCTCTGTAGCTCCGCTCCGAGATCGGACGTTTATATCAACTTCTTTAATCAAAACGATGAGTTCCCATTTCAGTTTGTGTTTGTACCTTAAAACCTGAATCACCCTGTATAATAACCCTGTATAATAGGAAGAGAAAAATGTACCGAATGATTGTTGATTTTCGGTCAGGAGATATTTCCACTGAACATAATATTTACATCAATTCAATTCCAATTGATTCTAGGTAATGATGAATAAATAACAATTTTTCAATAAAATGTTATGGAAAATATATCTTCTCAGAATTCTAGATAGACAGGAATAAGATTCAGAGAGTAATCACGAATCCAAAAATGCAATAATACACAGGATTGCTCATTTATTTGAATGACGATACGATTACTGAAACAAACAAAATCGTCAGAGCTATCCAATTTTCCTTCTCTCGTGCACGTGAAATTCTTGCATTGTTTTTTGCATTTTTTCTGAAAACTAGAAGTTTTTCAGGGTGAATTGTCTTTGAATAGACACAGTGATGAAACCATAGTTTTGATGATAATTTTGAAATTCTACACGTAGAAAATAAAGGAATAAAACTCAATCATTTTAAATCATTAGAAAACAAACTCGAAAAATGTTGACATTTTACTTAACGATCAATTAGACCTCAAAAGTTCACCACTGTTGAATTTGTTTTCTTATTAGGTAATAATATTTAATTACTATCAACCCTTTCAAGTTAATCCGCGGTACACCGTATTTTAATTTAATGTATATATTGTGCCTAATTTCCGAAAATGAAGGTTTATCGTACCTGTCCACAGGTAACTAATCCTCCAAGTTAGGAAAGTAGAATATATAAAAGTAAATCAAGCCAAGGTTGGTTTAGTTCATTGTACCAGTATATCACCTGATGAAGCTACTGTGTTAGCGAAACATGTTGTGTGTTTAAAATTTTTTTGGAAATCTTATCGTTTGTGAAGCTATACTAATCGAAAGGCCACGTGACCATGTTGCATGTGTTATGTGATATGTGAACACGATTACGGTAGAATCATCCCGAACCTAACTCATGTCGGATATACGATACTTCCCAACGTAACCTGAAAACCTATAAAAACGCATCATGAAAGCTGTTCTTTTCTAGTGAACATGACGGGCGATTTGACACTAATAGGGACTCTTTCTGAAGAGAAGAGCCACGGCCTCTATTGCTGTCGGATTTTGATATTTTTCGCTACGCTGCACACGACCCACAACAGCTTTGATTCCTCAATATTTCAGTCAGTATCGAGAACAGTGACGTAGAAAGGTTACAGGGCAGATGATTTTTTCTGTTTTCGAGTGAACAATAGGTATGTTCTTTGAGTCTTGTGCCGTTGTGGCGACGTTTCGACGTGTTTGCCCAATGTATTCTCTCGCGACTGTTTGACATTTTATCAGAAAATATTCGAAGATTTCGAGAAAAAAAAATTCTCAGATATATTATGAACATGAAAAAAGTGGATATACAGGGTAATTCAATATTAGATGACAATATTTCAAGGACATATTGTGGGATCAGAATAAGACTTTTTCTTCATATAAAGATGTGTACCTAAAATTCACCCCCTACTCCATGCTACAGCCACTGTAAGTTAGGTAAAGGAAAAAGATATTCTGAATTTGTGACTAAAATAACGGATCATATCTTCTGAAATTGGGCAGGACCCTGTTCTTTTATACACTTTATTCATTCTTTCTTCAAAAATTATGTAAACACAGTTTGGGGGGGGTTTGAAGGGGGGTCCTTAGTCTTATTTTGATCCCAACAATACGTCCTTAAAATATTTACATTGAATCACATATATATATAAAGAAATATACCTACATTGAGAATTCGCATTCTCATGTGATGGAAATATTAATTCATTTTCGGTATATTCAACAGAAAACAACTACTTTCCTGGCTATATGCTACGACGAACATTGAATTATATCTATTGAACACACACGATGAGAATTTGAAAATAAAATCTCCTGAAGTTGAGAATTTGCATTCTTCTTCAGATGAAAATATGTATTCAACATAATATCATTCTGAATATTCAACAGAAAACAACTAATTCCTTGGCTATTTTCCACGTCGAACATTAAACTATATCTGTTGAACATCCAAAAGGAGAACATGAAAATACAAATCCTCTGAAATTGAGAATTAACATTCTCTTTGAAATCGGATAAATAATATGATTCATAATAATATAAAAGTATGACCAGTAATCTCTGGTATAATACTTACCAATATATTCAGTTCAGAATTTCTTTCCACGTCCTGTATGACGAATATCAATTTGTCATAAAAAAAATTTCGAGAATTGTTTAGATGGATGATGGGTTTGAAAATTTGTACTAAATTTCATTGAAAATTAATCAATGATTTCAATAGCTCAGATGGAAAAATAATATTCAATGATTTCGTGGATAGGATAGATGAATGGGTATTGACAAGTTTAATTTTTTTTTTAAATATTCAATGATTTCACGGATAGGTTAGGGTTAGATGGTTAGGTTTGATAATTTTCACAAAATTCCATTGAAAAATATTCAATGATTATCGTTTTTCTGTATATACATTAAAAAATTCAAATGAAATAACAAGTAATCCACTAAGCATATATACTTTATTATATGAAATTATAAAATATTAACGTTCCTACGAAGAATGTTTCTACTTATGGAACTCATTCAGATACAGTATCAATTATTATTATTATTATTATTGACTGAATATATCGGGTGGCTCACGCCTATAACACATTATTTATTATGTATCTTTTAACAGATAACACAACTTGTTTCAACTTCTGGAAGACATATCGAAGAAAGGAAGTTGAAGAAGGTTGCTTAAAAAATTCAGTTTCATGTCTCATATGATAAAAATTCATTTGGAAATGAAATCCGAGACCAGTTTATTGAATTGATCGGGATACCTCAGGTGGATATTGTGTTTGCCATGTGGAAATCTGTATAACCTGAAAAGAAAAATTTCGAAGATAAGATCTGATGACTACAGATGCTGAACTGTATGAAAATCAAGATCAAGATATAGTGACGATTATGGACGATTATGGACAGATTATGATGATTTTTTTAATGTGGAGGAGGAAATGAGTATTTTGGAGCAAAATGGCGTCTACTTTTTCAAAAACCAAGCCCTACTATATCACATGCAGATGCTGAAGAATCTAGAATTCATAATAGCGATTTTTTAGAAAAACTCTGCGTACGCCACTGGAATTGACTTCCTCTGAAATAGATATGTACTTTCTGGAAAAATATTTCACATTAACAATTCTATGAAATTACTATTCCTGTCATATTAATTGAACACCCTGTATACAGGTACTGCTAAGTGATTACTTTATGAATTGTTCAAAATGTTCTCCATCGTTTCTTAAGTTTTGATTCACTATCTACTGACATTTAATAGGAACACATACAGGGTGATCAGAATTATGAATTTTGAACCACTCTGTATTCGTTCCAATTGAATGTCAGTAGATAATAAATCAAAATTTAAGAAAGGGCCATGAAAACCGCTTTGGCCAATAATGAATAGTTTCGACCCAAAAAATTCCTAAAGTTGGAAAAATCTCGATTTTTCACACCCTATATCTCTGTAATCATTTCAGCTAGACCCCAACTGTGATAGATCGATGAAATCAGCTCTTCAGGGAGAATCTAAAAATGCAATAAAATGCAGGGTGTTCCATTCAAAAATGTATACATCTTGCCCATAACTTTTTTTTGAGATGTTCAATTGTTTTTCTGTTAACATATTCAAAATCTACAGGAAAAATTATAAAATACTGTTCTTTGGGAAAAAAATTCGATGATAAATAAAATAGTTGAGGGGGCGTTCGAGATATACGTGAAGACCCTGTACATGAAACGATCACCTACTTGGATCCCTTGATGTTATTGAGCAAATTCATAGGCTGATGCAAGGCTAGTAGGGGGTCCTTGTCCCCATGGAGGATGAAAGTGGGGCAATGGATTTCCTGCAGAAGGTCACTGCATATGTCCCCTCCTCTTTCGTACATCATTTTCAAGGCATCGCTGTATCTCTTCATTATATCCTCGAGCCCTTGTTTCGTGTATATTTCAATCAGAGGTTCCAACATTTCTGGTGACCATGTACTAAGGTCTTTAATACCTGAAAAACAACGAAAATATTCTTTTTTTTTTGTTGGTACCGACTATACCCTTGTACTCGAAATATCGCGCCTTGATATGCACTTATAAATACTTTAATAATATACTATGACCACAAAAATCTTTGGCCACTCAGTATCAATTTTCACTTCAGTAGAGTAGACCTGTGAAGTGAACGAATTAAATCTTGAGAAATCCTATTTATGATGTGTATTAAGAACCTACATTGATAGATATAGTTATTTATTATACAAGGGAAAAAGTTGTAGATTTTAGCTCAACATTATTTTTTCTGTGAGACAGGGAAGAATCAATATTGAGTCAACATTATATTAAAATCAGAAAATTATCGATGTGAAATTCGATATTTTCAACAGTCAGATTGAAAAAAACTGTAGAGATCAAATTTGCCTAGAAATGATTGAGATTTTCAGGAATGATTTCAATTTCGAGATTAATCAATGTCTGCCAAAATAAGTATGTGAAATTCCATACGAACGACACTGGTGGCAACAACAAAAAATGTGGTACACTAACTGATGCCTCTTGATATAGTATTTCAAATTTCATCAGAATATCTAAAGTGCATAGTATTACAGATATTTATAAAAAATAATTTATTTTTGAGAACTTCACCACCATGTATCTCAAAATTTAAGACGTTTGGTCAAACGGTCATGTACAATTTTCTTCTTGAAATGGGCCCAAGAATTCCCTCCTCAAATATTGAGATTCACTTAGGAAACATCCTGTATATATGTCATGTATATCCGGGAAAAAAGTAACCCACTTTTTTTCCGTGAGAAAACAGTAATTCATGAAAAGTGACATTTCATAACCTGGCAACATATATGGAATTTCAAACTTTTTTCCCGTCACAGAAAAAACACAATAATTTTCAGTGCAAAGACTTACTGTCGATGAATTTGTATTCAAATGGGGAAATATATGTACCGGTACCCCACACTACCATTTTCTCCACATTCATTGGGTATTTTGCAGCCAAAAATAAACCAGTTACTCCTCCATCGCTCCAACCAAGTAACGAATATTTGGGGATTCCTAGTACCTACAAATGACGTAACGAAAAGAGATCCATCAAGAATAATTTTTCATTTTCATGCTAAGACGGTTTCCGGAACTCCCAAAAAATAGTAAAATGTACTAATTTCACAATAAATCTTTCTCCTAACATTCTCAAACAAAGTGTCACTGACTATCGAGAAAATCCTTGAAAAATTGAAGAAATAAATAGTTCACCTTCTCGAATAACCTTTGACAGCATATTTCATGATCTTTAAAAAATTCAGTTGTTATTTGAATCATCAAAATAATGAGAATACATATATCTAATGTTATACTTCAATATATTTGCCAAAATTATTTCAATTTGTCAATATCAACTATTCTTTTTCACGTCACTATAAATTTCAGTCAATAAAACGAATAAATATTTTGTCGATTTTCGATTGAAAGACAGAAATTTTGGCGAATATTTTCTTTCATGATGAAGAAGAAAGCAATTCATCTCAGAATCTTGTGGGAAAATGAGTTCACTGAAATCCTCGTAGAAGACGCCTCCTCATTTTCAGTTTCTATCAGATTTTTAACCTAGAAAATACCTCCATTAGTTTTTTAGCATAGGTGGCATCAACGTCATAGAAATCTGGGTCGAGTTGCTTATCTTTTGGTCGACTTTCCCCATACCCAGGGGGGTCCCAAGCTACCACTGTGAATTTGCTCCTAAAATTTCCGAAATGATAATAATATTAATCATATACAGTTCTGAACACACTGAGTGCACCACTATGAATTTGGCTCTTATTACACTGTGTTGTTACAGACCTCAAAAGATTTTTCATACCATTCAAAGGACCCCGCAAATTTTTAAGGAAAATTGGGTCCTTGTGAGTTTTTCTCAATTTTTGGTATGATCGAGGGTATGATGTAGTTCATGTGGTTCTATAAAATATTTTCGTTGAGCTAACCCCCAAACAATGGGGGTTTGAATTCACATTTTGATCAAATTATACATTTATTCCATTTAATTACTTCTGAAAATAGATTCTTCATGAAAAAATATAATGGGGGGGGGGAGGAATTATTACCCCCAAGCCCCATTTTGAAAACCGACAAGAAAAAGAATTCGATCTAACTGTCAAAAGTGATAGGAAATGTTTCATCACGGATAATTATGGAAACCGCATTTTTGCATTATAACCCCCTACCGAATAGGGGGTGCAAATGGAAAAAAAAGTCGGTGGATTTCGCTTAATTTTAGATATGATGTAGTCCATATGATTCTGATCAATATTCTCGAATGAAAAATCATTAAGGATAGGAATACAATATCAAAGAAAGTTGTCTTTCTATTCAGAATCAAAAGGTAGTTTATGACTCAAAATGTGCATTGAAACCCCATATAGCAGAAAAACTGTCCAATTTTTTATGATTGTCACCAGATGATTTTCAGATCAGATTCAAATATGGACTACATCATATAAAAAATTCAGCGAAAACCACCGAATTTTTTTTTCATTTGCACCCCTTATAATTATCGGTGATGAAACATTTCCTATCACTTTTAACAGTTGGAACGAATTCTTTTATTGTTCGGTTTTCGAAATAGGGGTTGGGGGCAATAATTACCCCCCATTATTTTTTTTATAATGAATCTATTTTTAGAAGTAATAAAATGGAATAAAAAGTTTTGGAATATCGTTCATTCTCTCAGAAATTAATGGTCAATTCGATCAAAATGTGAATTCAAACCCGCCTGGCAAAATAACTGTCCAATTTTGGGTGTTGACTCAGTGCAGTGCCGGATTTATACTCCCTTACGCCGGGGGCTAACTTTTACGATGCCGCCGCGCCGCCGCCAAATATTTAATTTTCAATTGTCAGTTTCAAAATTCAAATAATCCTTTCACTGCTTACATAGATCTAACAATAACATGAAATCATTATGTACAACGAATCAAATTATATTTACTTCACACGTTAAACATAACAACAAACAACAAATATTTTTTTCAGATGAATACTAAAATACTTTTCTTGATTTTTTTTTATGCAAAGTCGTCAAGGCATCATCAAAATTCAGATTTAATAACATGTCACTGTTAACACTTGAAATTGATAATACCGTGGAGTTCCTAAGTATTTTATAAGTTGAGAATGACCTTTCACCACTGGCATTACAAATAATCAGGGATAGTAAAACAATTATTCTCAGTAATTGCCAATATTCAATGAATTAGGAATTTGTTGTGATTATCCCTGAAAGAACGCTTAGTCGTGTTCATATTTTGACCATCTATTTTTGAGATCCTAACTCTTCTTTTTCGCGTATTGAATGTAAAAAAATATAAAACATGATCGTGAAGTACTGTCGGTTCTGTCGGTTCTGATTCTGTCTCATGTGAATTTTGAAAAAATGAATGTAGTTTAGGGCATTTCTTGACAACTTCGTCTAACTGCTTTTGTTTATTGATCTTCTGCACCACATTCTTTTTTACTCATTTGTCTAAATTTCAGTTCCAATATTAATTTATTATTTGTACCATTACCAACAATACCAACAACAACCTATTGAATACTGAACTCTGATTTTGTTTTTTGTTATTGACTTAGACGAATCACGAAATTACCCCTACTCTACTGAGTAGAATGCGGTTCTTCTTCTCATCAAATAAAAGTATGTACCGCCGCCGCTTTTGTATTGTAGCGTCCAGAACACAGCTGACGCTAGATTAGTGCATGCAGTGTTATGATTTTCATTAAAACAGTATCTCAACCAGTCAACGACTGTATTGCTGCTTGCTTTTCCTCTTTTCTCTTTTTCTCTACCGCCTCTTGAAATTCACCGCCGGGGGCTGATAGTCCCATAGCCCCCCCCTAAATCCGGCACTGACTCAGTGAAAATATTTTATAGAACCACATGACCTACATCATACCAAAAATTGAAAAAAGTCCACCAGGTCCCAATTCACCTTGAAAATTTCACACCAAACATTTTCGATTAATTTAAAGCCTGTATTTCGTATCGTTACCATAGGAACAAATTTCTTGGAAATTTTTTCCTCCTCCTTGAAGAACGGAGCATGAAATTACACTGGAAATTTTTTGACGTTTATAGGTTGAGTGACATTCACCTCGACATTCACATTCAACTTCAGATTATTTCGAGTTCATTCTATAAGTCAAAAAATAAAAATCATTTATCAACAGTTTACCATATAATATTATGTAGGTATGCTTGCGAATTCGAAATGTACAAGAACACATGTTGTTACACATTAGTTCTTACATCTCATCACAAACAATCATCATTTTCTACTAAATTGTTGTGTGTTGAAATTCCTTAGCTTTAAATTAATCGAAAATGTTTGGTGTGAAATTTTCTTACCAAATACCACTTTAGCTTCAATTAATATCCTGGAATTTTTTCTCGAATACGAATATTTGGAAAATTCGTGTTCTCGAAAAAATATCCGGAAATAATTGAAGCTCTTGCGGGGTCCATTGTTTTTGTTGCAGATTAAGAACCAATGTTCTGTTGAAAGTTGTTGAGAAATGTAAGTATGTATTATTGAATATGACGCAAATATATGACATGCAGAATACCTATCCAATCTATCGATCTGTGGTTTGAAATCGCTCCAAATGGTCCCTACCATCCCTGGTAGGCACAGAATATGTTTGGGCCCTTTTCCTACTTTTATGTAATGCAGAGTTTGGCCATCGACATCGATTTTATGCTCCTGAAATATATTCTATTAAATGCCTATTCAAATGCCAATTTTATATTCTTATTAGGAATTGGAATTTTACTTGAAGACATTTTGGCAAGCCCTTGTAGAATATTTGTATTCAATTCAGTAGGGAAATTTCGGAATTACCATGTATTTACCTTGGTGGGAATGTCAGAAAGAACATTAGCGATTCTGAGATCCTGCAACAAAAATCAGTGTACATTAATTCCATGAAAGAACAAATATATAGGATGTTCTATTTGGCAAAACAGAACCCTGTAAATTTGTTTTTCAATTCAGACACACATAAAAGAATTATACAGGGTGTCCCATTGGGAAACGGAAAAACTTCAACAGTGGGTAGAGCTAGTGGATATTTCGTATATTTATCATCAGTTAGTTTATTGACAATTCTTTGAAATACCTTAATATATGAACTTATGTAAAATTCTGATATTTGACTTGAATAGCCAAATATAGGGTGAACATTATTGTCACCACAAGCTTATCAAGGTGGTCCTGAATATATCATATTTGTTGGGTCTCACAACTTTATATCCGAGATATAGGGTGTTTTATCAATTTTGCTCAATTCTTTGTGAGGACATAACTCACGAACCACCCAGTATATTCCTTTGGAATTCTACCAGAGCGACTCAACTATTTTTGGAACACGAATAGAACACCCTGAATTTTCGAATTTCCAAAATCCACTTACATATTTTTGGAAAGTGCACAAGAAGCTGAATCGAATGGTGTACTTTTTTATTATCCCGCATGCTATTGTAACCTGGATGAATACGACAGTGTGTCTTTACGTATTTCAAAATTAATATTGAGTATTTGTGGAAAGGAATTTTACAAATCAATATCAATCAATACATTTCACTGTTGAAAAAAATGCATTTCTCCAAATATTACAATAGGAATGATGAAAAATCTATCTTCAAAACTTGAAACATAAAAATTATAACATTTTGATTCAAACAATTGTTTGTTTTTAATTTCTGTGCATGACTGCATGCGTCTTCAATTCTTGGAATCAGCTCCTCCTTATTGGTAGTAATCTTTGGAAAATACACTCCAGATTCAAGATAACCCCACAGGTGATAATCCACGCTATTCAAATCGGGTGATCTTGGTGTCCAGAATTTTCCTGATACATGGATTGGACAAGGCAGCCCTCATATCTGAACTATAAGATCACACGATTTGAATCCCGTGGATTAGCACTTGTGGTGTTAACTAGCATCTGAAGTGTATACTTCCAGGAAGCATGGAGAAAAATGAAAAACAATCAGGAAGTGATCCGAAAATCAGTGAAATATCAGAGCAAACTGCGATAATTTTTGTTATTCGAGAAAACTCAAAACATTCCCTTCATGCATGAAAGTTCAAATTCATTAGTGAAAGAGCATGCGATATACTAAAATGTGCACAATTCGATTCAGCTTCTTGTAAACTTTTCAGGTATCTATGTAAGCGAATTTTAGAAATTCGATAATACTGGGTGTTCTTTTCGGAGCCCAGAATATGATCAACATTCGTTAATCTGGACCTGGATTTTCATCTCGACTGGTAGGTGTGTCGCTTCGATAGAAGATGGAGAACTTGTGTACCAAATTCCAAAAGAATATACTGGGTGATTCGTGATAATTTTTGTTATTCGATTGGGAAAATTCACGACATTTCATTTTTACCTATCCAAATGCATAAAACCTCAAATTCAAATTCAGAAATTCTTCAGCTTTTTGTGCAATTTCCAAATATATAAGTGGATTTTGGGGATTCAACAATACAGGGTGTTTTTTTGTGATCAATTTTCGTTAACCCAGGTGATAGATGAGTCGCTTGGTTAGAATAAGAAGAATGAATCGTGTACCAAATTCCAAGAGAATATATATATTCTGGGTGGTTCGTAAGTTATGTGGTCTGGTCACAAAGAATTGAACAAAATTGATAAAACACCCTATATTTCGGATATAAAACTAGTAGGACCCTACGAATATGGCATATTCAGAACCAGCTTGATGAGCTCTACCCACCCTGTATAGAGGGGCAATAATTGCCACGTGTCACACACTATTATACACACTCATCACTCATGCTGGTAGTATTTTTGTTATTTAGACTTTGATTTGGATTTTTTTAAATGGATTTTATTGTTGATGAGATCAAAAACCGCACTAATATACGCTTTTTGAAGAATATAACTGTTACTAACCTCTGCTGCCGTTGAGCACATCCTCACAACGAATTTCGACACCTTAGAACCGATCATACTGTTGATCTTGATTGATTCCTATGAAACGCAAATCTCATTGATGCATGTGGAAATACTACACACAGATAAAACTTTGTTGATATGTTTATATAGTCTCGGGTGCATTTCCATATCATGAATATACCGGATGGTTGGTTGAATAGGAATACATTTTATCGTGAAACTTTCCAACAACATGGCACCATGTAATTTTTTTACTGCTGTCTACTCCATATTACCTTTCTAGCGATGAAATTAAAAATATGAGAGTTGGTCATTTCCGGCGGCTAAACCGGAAGTGAATTTTATTTTTTCATTCTGCTCGAATAAAATTATCATTGTGTACATCCCTCATTTCTCTTTTCATTTTGCAGATAAACAATTGGAATTTTGACGCAGTGTTAAGGATACCTATCACTGCATCCTTCATTCAGCTCTAGGAAAAACATTGTTCACATCACATCCGGTATAAGATGATAGTGTTAATTGTTTGTTATGGACTTGTTTTTGAAACATATCAATCAAGTTACGTGACCTACTCAAGTGGGCCAACCCCGTTTACAACCTAAACTATAAATTTACACTAAAACTTCATAATAATATTATTGACAATAATGATAATCTTGCTAATTCAATTCCTGACCCAACGGAGTTATTTACCTGAATACTGTCTGTAGGAAAGGAAGATAACAACCAAAAGAGAAAAATCAAGGAATCCGCTCGCATTCTTCTGAACGGAGACAATAGCATTTCTTCCTGTTCAGTTGATATATAGAGAGAACATGGTATTCACTACTGAAAACTGAACATGAAAATGTTAGATTCAAAATCAATTAATGTAAACATCCTGTAACTCATTTGTACACTAACTATGTCAAACTATGAGACCAGAATTTTCGAAGAAAAATTATTTGCATTTTTATGTTGAAAACGGGAGCAGATTCGTTCCCGAAACGTCCAAAGATAAGTAAAAATTCGATATTTTTTCAATATATCAATCAATCTGTGCTTTATTGTCCAAAAATATTGTTTTTATTGACAAAGCTCAAATGATATATAATTATAAAATTCGTATATGACACACAAAAACAATGAATAAACAAAACGATTACAGAAACAGAAACATACATAATATAGCTAACAATATAATTGAATGAATATAATATAAATAATATCACATACAGCTTACTCCTTATCTAAAATTTGTCATCATACAATTCCTGCAGCCTTTGGAATGGGGAAGTCTTTAATACCCTTCCTAAATATTTTGGGGTGTTTTGATCTTCTCAAATATTCGTGCAACATTTTTCTGCTTTCATACATAACTGAATTTTTTGGAGAGATGTTCTAGGTATTGGCAGAAAAATTTTGTTCTCATTTCGGGTGCATATGATCAGTATCATCTAGTAAACAAAAACATCAGTATTGTATCAGACAGTCAGGCTGCTCTTAAAGCACTGAGCTCCAGCAAGATAAATTCCAAGCTTGAATGGAGCTGTATTGAATCCCTAGAATGCCTGGGTGCTAACAACAGAGTCACTTTGCTGTGGGTGCCTGGACACCAGGGGGTGGAGGGTAACGAGAAAGCCGACATCCTCGCCAAACAGAGAACCGAATCTGTGTTCATAGGACCAGAACCATATTTTGGGGTCACCGCAAGTGCGGCGAAAACAACTATCTCGGGATGGGCGGAGAGAAAAACACTCACGTCCTGGTCTGAATTACCAGGATTAACCCATTCGAAGGCGTTCCTGCCTAAACCATCGGAAAAAATAACCAGGCAGATCCTAGAATGGAGCAGGGGTAACCTGCGAATTCTGACTGGACTGCTTACGGGACACTGTCGTCTAAGATACCACCTGGGAAGGATGGGTCTGAACCAACAAACGGACTGCCGGTTCTGTTGTGTGGAAGACGAAACGGCTGAACACATTTTATGTTCATGCTCTAGCTTAGAAAGACTAAATCGATTTCAGACAAATCTCACCCAATTCAACCATGAACTTTGTAAAAAGATGTGGATTGTACTGTGAACTGTCACCTCTAGAGGTGAGCCGCAATAGACCCGGGGTTGCAGTGGAGGGGAGGTATTCGCTCCACTCACATGGAACCTAACCTAACCTACTCCTTATCTAAAATTTGTCATCATACAATTCCTGCAGCCTTTGGAATGGGGAAGTCTTTACCCTTCCTAAATATTTTGGGGTGTTTTGCTCTTCTCAAATATTCGTGCAAATGGTTATACATTTTTCTGCTTTCATACATAATTGAATTTTTTGGAAGAGAAGTTCTAGGTATTGGCAGAAAAATATTGTTCTCATTTCGGGTGCATATGATCAGTATCAATATTTCCATTTGGAACACAGGTCGTTTCAGGGATGAAATTGCATGTTAGAGTCAACATTTTTTGTTGGATGAATAGTGGTCTACAACAGTCTCTTGCTCTAACTTCGCATAGGTATCTTACTGCCCTTTTTTGTAAAGTGAACACAGACTTCAATAAATTTTGACTATAAAATCCCCAGAAATCTATGCCATATCTGATATGCGATTCTATCAGTGAAAAATATATGGTTCTTGCAATATCTTGGCCAATCTCATTTGATCTTATATCATAACATCCGGATGCGAGTTTATTTCTCAATGACGTGAAGTGGACATCAAATCTCATTTTATTATCGATTTATAAGCCAAGGAATTCAGTATTCACCTTATTTTCAATTAATTATGAGATTTTCATACTCGAATTTGAATGTTATGATATTAGTTTTATTTGCATTGAAACACAGAGAATTAGTATTGCACCATAATTCAACTTCCTTTAATTCCTGGGATATAACTTTCTTGAGGCTATTTTTTCCATGCCATAGTCAGCAAATAATGTGAATTTTCCTGTTAGAGTCGAATATGTTAAATCATTCAGATACATAAAAAACAAGATTGGGCCTAGCACTGATCCCTGAGGAACTCCTGGCCTGATTTTCGAATAGCTCGAGGTTTCACTTGATATTTTTACACGTTGTTTATATCTGTTTTTCTTCTCTTCAAACATTTTTCCAAACAAAGTGAATCATCTGATTTGTCCTCATATTTTTATTTTATAGAAACGAGGAGAGGAAATTCCAAATAATCAAGTAAAATTATCCTACCTGAATATTTTATGCCCTTTCATCATTGCAACACCGTAAAAAAATCGGCGACCTCTCACTTTTCTGTAGATACTTTCACAGGAAATGTTCAGAAATCATTCCATCGCTAGCAATACCAGTCAGACAAACTCGACAAGCCCAGTCGTAAACTTCGAAATATGTCGAACAACTCTTTTCCAGAACTCGTTTGTCTATAGAACGACAAAGCTTTGGAATTATCTACCGAAGTATTCCCAAGAACTTACCTCGAACATACTAGGAATTTCCTTTTGTGCGCTTCATAAGATAAAAATAAAAGGCCTGATGAAAATATTTTTGCTACCATTTTATCGGAATAAGACTACGCTATTCAAATCAAACACCCTGTATTTTCTATATTCATTATTATCGGCCAATCGATTCCTCAGAATGTTGATAAAAATGCCTTGGCAATAATTATAAATGATTGTAAACATTGATATAGAAATGTGCTGATTTGCCTCATCAGTATGTATTTTTCAGTGAAAAAAAAACTGCACTCTAGCTGCTTATTGCCTATAACTATTTCCACATGCATTTGTGCTTATGCACCGAAAAATCATCGGTATAACATCCATTACATTGCTTTATTACTCATGAAAGTAGTGAATCGAAGATAATATCCCGAAAAGAAACTTTTTTGAAACAGCTAATCATCTAAGAAGAAAAACTAACACGATCATCATGCATAGCCTAATAATGTAACCTAAGGTATTTCCTCTGAGACTGAATTCTAGGAACTCGAACTACGGGAAATTTCTAGTGATTCTTCAGAACTCGCTTTTCAACAACAACGAATTCGACAATGATAAACATAATAACATGTACTAAGTAAATAATTGAAATAAAAATTGTGATCTCCAGAAATACCGATCAAAACAACCGTTGATTAACTATTCAATTAAACAAAAATTTTAGATAATATAGGAGGTAGGAAATAATAAAATTGAATGTATAAGTGTAGACATCATTATCTATACTACAACAATTATTGATGAAATTTCTTAAAATAACTAGGTATTTAATTCTTGAATTGAATGACCTCTACTCATAAATATTTCCGTCAACATCAAGTACAGGGACGTATAGAAAGAAAGCTTATCGCTTGTAAAAATGTAATTATTTATTTTTGTTCCACTAGAATTTCTTGCAAAATAATAATTATGAGAATATTATTTTTCTATACACTGAATGGGATGAATTTGTATTAAAATTCGTATTCATATCAAGTCCCCATTTTTTTGTTCTTGAAAACTAGTCGAAATTCGAAAAACTGCATGAAACAAGAAAGTTGTTGAATCAAATGGAATAAAAAAAAACAATAGATGAATCTATAGTTACGCAAAACATATATTTTCGTATTATGAACAAACCTGCTAAGTTTAACGAAATTCAGTTAGAAGTTTTTGAGCTGTGAGTAGGAAACTATTCAGGTACGTGATAGTTGAATTGTGTTATATAAATAAACATTCCTTATGATTGGATACCTATAAACAAAAGTTGTAAAGGAATCAGTTCAATTTTAATTTTACCAAAATACTGAGCTATTTCGCTTCAATGAAATCACCGTGTATGTTTAGGTTATATTTTATAAACATCAAAGATAAGATGAAAATTCTTTGAACTTTATTGTATATAAGCATGAACAGAGTGAGTCCAATATGAACAATTTTTGAACTGATATTCATTTCAAGATCATAGTTCTTGTTTATAAACTTTTATAATTTAATCCAATTTCTCCAAAGAATGAATAAAATAGCAATTTTCTCATTTGGTTCAAGGTCAAACGCATTTGAATTCAAAATTGGATTTGGAGTGCATTTCTAGTACAATTTTTTTTGCTCAAGTTCATAACTTTATCACAACTTGAATGACCTGAAAAGATCAATAAACAATATATCTATACAGGGTGTTGCGAAATTCGACCGACAACGCTTGACGCAATATCTCAAGAAAAATTCATCATTTTTTTTTAGCCAGGAAGCCCTGCCGGACATTTCATCCAGTGGTGCCCTACAGGGAGGTGCGGAAACTTTTCCTCCCATATTTTCTACGCCACTGATTGAATTTCAATTATTTCCAATACCTCGAATTCATATTTCAATTCTGTTCAAAAAATGCATCACCTTCAACTGAGCTGAAATGAACAGTTTTCGAGATATTCGACCCAAAATCGAAGATTGTATAGTAATATTTCATCATTTTCAGAAGTAGAAAATTGCAAAAATATTTTTCTGGTGTTAAGTAGATTAGATACTACTGATAGATCTCATAACTAAGAGATCTAGGATGAACAGAGTTGCCCCAATTGTCAGCAGGAGCGAGACAGTACTGTTTCGACCCACCAGGTATCATCAGCCGCTCTCGGTCTGCTGACACCTGGGACAACTCTACGCTTCGGGTATGCCACTAGATGGCTACAACATGACTATAACTTCATGTTATACCCTGCGTCTTCGAAATGGGTGATATACCCGAAGCGTAGAGTTGTCCCAGTTGTCAGCAGACCGAGAGCGGCTGATGAGACCTGGTGGGTCGAAACAGTACTGTCTCGTTCCTGCTGACAATTGTGGCAACTCTAAGATCCTAGATCTCTTAGTTATGAGATCTATCAGTTGAATAGGTGGTGGAAAAATTCCACTCAAGTATGTCAGGTAGTGCCATCTGTCAGCAGAGTGGTTTACTTGTAGTACCACTCTGTAGCGTATAGACGTAGGGGTCTGTACGTGTGACTATAGATGGCAGCGCCATACAGTGTGTGTCGCGATTTCTGTATCCTACCTTAGAGCTTTATTGCCACTAGATGGCTACAACATGACTATAACTTCATGTTATACCCTGCGATTAGATACTATTCAGATCTCATTCTGTAGCTGATCAGAAATAGTTATTCCACACATAAAGAGAAAACAAAAATTTTTGTAATCTTCTACTGAAGATGATAATTACTATGCAAACTATAACTGTTCATTTTAGCTCAGTTGAAGGTGATGCATTTTTTCAACATAATTGAACAATCAATTCGAGAAATTGGAGATAATCGAAATTTCATCAGTGACGTAAAAAATATGGGAGGAAAAGATATCACAACCATCTGTAGCGCACCTCTGGATAAAATTCTCGGAATGTCTTTGTGGTCAAAAAATTAACCATTGAAAGATGAAACCATATACCGATATTGCGGATAAACTATTTTAATTTCCTAACTTCAACGCTCTGTATCTCGAGAACTGAACACTTGAAGACCATATGTCCCTATCACCTGTCAAGCGTTGTCGGTCGAATTTCGCAACACCCTGTATACCTGCAGAATTATACCTAGCTTCAAGAATTCAAAAAAATAGATTTTCTCATTTTTGAATACATTATTGATCCATTATTCTTTATGAAGATGTGTCATTATTTCTCTGCATGACCCGCCCGAATGACGTCTATGCTGTAATTTTCTATTTTTTCATTACACCAAGCACTGAAAATAATATAAACCAAGATGATCCAAATTCTTTATTGCAACAGCTAATCATCTAAAGAGAAAACAACACACACATTATATCAATAACTTATAGTACAAAAGTAAAGTATCTAATTTCTACCTCTGAGACTGAACCCGGTGCCACTGAACGCTTGAAACTCGCTAGTTTCTTCCTCGTCTTTGCTCTTCTGTTTGACGGTCCTCCGGATGAACTTCAAGGTCCCTATTGAAAAGGAATATTCTAAGATGTATCAAATAACACCGAAAAAATTCATGATGTTTTAAGAAAAAAACTCATAAAACACGTGTCCTAACTTGCTTCGTTTTTGAGCTACAGGGTATTAATATTTCCATGAAAAATATTTTTTTTATTCGTTTCTCAATTGCCTTTTCATCAATTTCAATGAAACGTTGTGGTTTTGTTAATAGTAATATGGAGCTTCTTCTAACGCAATTAGATTCCAGTGGCGTCACAGTGGGTAAATTCATTGATACTCATGGTAAATGTCGGTTTTTCTGAGTGTCATATTTTTATTAGGTTGAACTATTGAAATAACAACTTTTTTATCCTCTGTGTGATTTTTGTATCTAGCTTAGTTTTTGAGGAAAGAAGGAAAATTCGATTTGACTCCAAATTTTAATGTATGTGTTTTCAAGACTTCCATTTAAATTACTCAATAACCCCAATTAGAATCATTCTGAAATTTTGGGGCTTTCTCAGTCTCCACCCATACTGAATTTTTGCACCATGTAAGCTAATACAGGGGGGTTATAAATATAAATAATTAATACTTCCAACTTCAACATCCAGTATCTCGAAAACGGAGCAAGTTAAGACAGACACATGCTTATATGAACTTTATTTGCTAGAATGTCACAAGGAAGCAACCCTTGAAATTTTTTTCTCTACACACATTACAACATATCAAAATATTTGGCTTATCCAAAAACAGTGCTTTGATCCTACTTTTTTGATATCTCTTGGCAATTGATTGAACTGATGATGGAATTGGTAATTTAATGTTTCCAGCTTGCCGAATGGCATGGTGTGTAGAGTTATTATCAAATTTGCATAGAAGTCCTAAGATTTTATGTGACTCTCATTGCATAACATCCAGAAGACAATTTTTTGTTCGAAATTTCAACATGTTTATCAAAAATTTCAATATGAAATATATTTGAATGCCAAAAAATTTTGTATTATTGGTGTTTTCTATAACATCATCTCCCATGACTAGCTCGTCTAAGTCACCTTCAAATGACATATTAGTTTTTGTCAAATTCATCAACTGATTTGGATCACATCATTCTTCAACCTCAGAAATGTAGATAATATCAAGAAGTGTTCGGGCATTTTTATTATATGAGAAAATACTTCATCATCCGAGAACAGTGTTATTTTTTCTGATATGTTAGCTTTGGAAAAATTATATTTATTGAACACACACAATAAGAATCTCTATTCGTTAAAAAATCAAAGTTGTTGCTACTTTTCAATATAAGCGGCAACGTCGCAACGCTGAGAATATTTTAGGTACATAGAACACAACTAATTATCCAATGCCCCAACTTTTCAGATTGATCCTGAGTTGCGTTCTTCAGAAATGTATAATGTGCCATCCACCGTGAATCACCCTGTATAAAAATAAATCCCTATATCCCTTGGTCACGCCATAACGCGTGAACGTCTGGACCGAGTTCACTAATTCTCTTTTTGGTGTATTTTCTATTGCCAAAAGAAGGTTCATATGAGAGAAAAGATAAAGAAAATCAAGATGGCGGATCCAATATGGCGGACAAGTTTTGTAATTATGATCAGATTCTATTCAAGTTCGATATCTGGGGGTTCTCGGGGTCGGAGATTATGCTTCTTTTGTCGAAATTTGGAGATTCAAGATGGCGGATCCAATATGGCGGACGAGTTTTGTAATTATGATCAGATTTTATTCAAAATTGATGTCTAGGGGTTTACCGGAGTCGGAAATTATGATTTCTTCGTCAAAATCAGGAAATTCACAGGGGTTAAAACCTGGGAATTATGGTGTACAGGCATGATGCATTCTCCAGTGGGATTTCAAGGATTCTGGTGTACACATTCCTCAAAGATGGTTTACTCCTCGGGAAATTTAAGATGGCGGATCCAATATGGCAGACGAGTTTTGCAATTATGATCTGGGGGATTCCGGGGTCGGAGATTTCTTGTCAAAATCCAATATGGCGAACTATGAGCAATGTAATAAATAGAAGAAAAACTAGAGAAATACGTTTCTATAGACAGCCAAATTATAAATAGAAAATAAATAGTAGTTTAAAAAATTAAAGAGATGAATTGCTGAACTGAAAAGAAGAAGAAAATAAAATAATAAGTGTGTTAATGAATATTGACCAACAAAAAAATGATTTCTAGAAATAATGTATATCTATAGCAAAACAACATTCGCCGGATCAGCTAGTTTGAAAATAAAATCTTCTGAAGTTGAGAATTTGCATTATCTTTCAGACGAAAATTTAAATTCAACATACCTATTTGGTAATCATAATCAGGAATACCCTTGACATAGACCACTTTAGGAGCAGAAGATTCACTGGAGGTGGAGTCTTTGCGTTTTTTGCCGTCCAAGCGATTGCCGGCACCCCGGAAGGCGACGAAACCGGAAGGTTCCGGCATCAGATCTGCCGGGTCCATGGCAGCTTCTTCTTCCTCTTTTTTGATGCGTTCCGGTTCCTTGTAGCCTACGGGGGCTGCAAATTCTACCTAAGAAGAAATGTGCTTTGAATGTCGATCATGAAATTATGTTGGTTTCCATTCTGATCTTTTTTCTCCAGAAGAATTAACAAATTAAAAAGTGAAAACAAAACAAAAGGTAAGTGGATGAATACAATATTTGCATGTTTGCAATATTTAAAGGCACAGGCCGTAGTTTATGAATGATGGCAGCACACATCATAGGCATAGTTTTCAATTAACCTACTGTCAGATTTTAGTTAGTAATACAGTGAGTAGCAAGTGTTATCTGACTGAAGAGATCTGCTGAGAGGATGAGTGCCACATCAAATAAGAATTGAAATCGATAGGTGCAAGTCTGAGAAATCCAAAGAAGAAAGTTCTTCAATCAATATTCATTTGCCATGTAAACTTCTATCAATATATTATATAATGTATTATCTGAATCAGTAAATTTTATTTTTGACCTGAAACCGACCTGAATTCATACGTCCCTCAGACGTCCTCAAAATGTCCCCAATTGGTCCAGATCAGACCCGAAACGGACCTAATTTACTAGATTTGGTAACATATCTTAGGTTAGGTTACTAGATCTGGTAACATATCTTAGGTTAGGTTACTAGATCTAGTAACATATCTTGGGTTAGGTTACTAGATTTGGTAACATATCTTAGATCCATTATTCCAAATTTTTTTGGGTTTTTCTCTCCTCGTTTCTTTAAAATGAAAATATGAATAATATTTCGATATTGATTTTTCTCTTCTGGTTGTTATCTTCTTTCCCAATGATTTTAATATTATTCCACTCTGCCATTTATGTTGTCCGTCTTCGATTTATCGATGTTTCGTTTCTTCATATTGTACTTATGTTTCTTCGTCCTTACTGAAAGAGGTCTCTTGGTTTCATCTGTATAAAACTTTCCACAAACACAAGGTATACTGTAAATACGATTTTTTTTACGATTGTTCTCAATTTTTCGGCTTTGTTTGAGTTGGAATTGATCTCATTGTATTTTCAGTTTTGAACACAGTGTTCACTTGAAATTTATCAGCAACACGTTTTATATTTTCAGATATGCCGGGAATGTATGATGTTATATTTGTCGTTATTGATGGTTGATTTTGTTGTGGTTGACCCTGTTTGTTTTCAATTTGATGAATCGACAAAATTCTTTGGATAGGAATTGAGTTGGAGAACATTTTTAATGTGGTGGAGTTCGTTATTGAAAATTTGTTGGTCAGATGATATTGATTTGGCTCTATCATGGAGTGATCTGATCATTCCTTTCTTAATACTTTTCTGATGATTTGATTGAAAGTTCAAGTATCTGTTAGTATGGGTCTTTTTACGATATACACTCGTTACAAAGATGTTATTTGATTTTTCAATAAGAACATCTAGAAACGGTAATTGATTATTAGATTCAATTTCCAAAGTGAACTTTATTGTAGGTTCGGCATTGTTCGCATAATCCAGAAAATTATCTAGCTCCATTATGTTATGAGGCCAAATTATGAAAATATCATCTACGTATCGCCACCATGTTTTAAGTTGTTTTTGGTGATTTTTGACGATGTTGTCTTCAAAAATCTCCATGAATATATTGCTCAAAATTGGAGATAATGGCGATCCCATGGCCTTTCCTAAGTTTTGTTGATAAACTCATCACCCAATTGAAAATACGTTGTGTTTAGGCACAATTCCAAAAATTCCATTATTCCTTCGATACTTAGATTAGTTCATTCAGTGAGATTTTCATCGTCTTCTAATTTATGTTTCACTATTTGTAAAGTTTTATATAATGGAACATTTGTGAATAAACTTACTACTTCAAAACCAACAAGAGCATCATTTATATCCAGAGTGATGTCATTAAGCTTTTCTTTAAACGCAGTGACATTTTGGGGCAAATCATCTACACGTATATTGATATAATATTCATATTTTTATTATATAAAAACGAGGAGAGAAAATCCAAAAAAAAAATGACAAAAAAAAATCCAAAAAGAAAATATCCAAAAAAAAATCTAAAAAAAAATGGAATAATGAATCTAAGATATGTTACCAAATCTAGTAACCTAACCTAAGATATGTTACCAGATCTAGTAACCCAACCTAAGATATGTTACCAGATCTAGTAACCCAACCTAAGATATGTTACCAGATCTAGTAACCCAACCTAAGATATGTTACCAGATCTAGTAACCCAACCTAAGATATGTTACCAGATCTAGTAACCCAACCTAAGATATGTTACCAGATCTAGTAACCCAACCTAAGATATGTTACCAGATCTAGTAACCCAACCTCAGATATGTTACCAGATCTAGTAACCCAACCTAAGATATGTTACCAGATCTAGTAACCCAACATAAGATATGTTACCAGATCTAGTAACCCAACCTCAGATATGTTACCAGATCTAGTAACCCAACCTAAGATATGTTACCAGATCTAGTAACCCAACATAAGATATGTTACCAGATCTAGTAACCCAACCTCAGATATGTTACCAGATCTAGTAACCCAACCTAAGATATGTTACCAGATCTAGTAACCCAACCTCAGATATGTTACCAGATCTAGTAACCCAACCTCAGATATGTTACCAGATCTAGTAACCTAACCTAAGATATGTTACCAGATCTAGTAACCCAACATAAGATATGTTACCAGATCTAGTAACCCAACCTCAGATATGTTACCAGATCTAGTAACCCAACCTAAGATATGTTACCAGATCTAGTAACCCAACATAAGATATGTTACCAGATCTAGTAACCCAACCTCAGATATGTTACCAGATCTAGTAACCCAACCTAAGATATGTTACCAGATCTAGTAACCCAACCTCAGATATGTTACCAGATCTAGTAACCCAACCTAAGATATGTTACCAGATCTAGTAACCCAACATAAGATATGTTACCAGATCTAGTAACCCAACCTCAGATATGTTACCAGATCTAGTAACCCAACCTAAGATATGTTACCAGATCTAGTAACCCAACATAAGATATGTTACCAGATCTAGTAACCCAACCTCAGATATGTTACCAGATTTGGTAACCTAACCCGAGATATGTTACCAGATCTAGTAACCTAACCTGAGATATGTTACCAGATCTAGTAACCTAACCTGAGATATGTTACCAGATCTAGTAACCTAACCTGAGATATGTTACCAGATCTAGTAACCTAACCTAAAAAAAAGGTTAGGTTAGGTTAGGTTATTTCTAATGTTCTGTGTATACTAAGTTGAAATAAATATATAAGTATTTCACAATACATCTTTTTTCTTTCAATAATAATTTTTGACTCACATGGCTATATTGCCAACATGATGTTGAAAGATATGTAGTATTTTTTTTTTGTTCTGAACATGTTGAACTTTATCATGAACACTTTTTATTCAACATTACCTTGATAACAAAAAAAATCCCTGAAGGTATCCACATTCAATACTCACATTCATATCACATTCTATGATGGTGATAGCATTCCCAGGTTTAGTTTCCAATACACAAAGTTCATATGGTTTCTGATTGTATTTGACAGCTATCACATCCCCGGTAGTGAGACAGGCAAAAGATCTCAAACAATTTTCCAGTACAGCCTTTGGATTAGTGATATCCAAAAAATCTGGGTTCAAAGGCTGGAATTTTGAAAAAGTTCCCACTGGAAGTGAGATGCTTTCCATTTGAACCAAGTCACCTTCTTCTAAAACTAAATTGTGCATCATCTGAAACAGAAATAGTCACTGATATCCAGTCAACATAGTATTAAGACTCACCCAGAGTGGTAAATAGACTTTACCCTCATCTGCAACAAATTCTAGTACCCCACAATGTGTTACTCTATTGGTATTCTTATTCACCAGCTTGAAAAGCATGGGGTAGTTGATGTTAAGTCTTGTCAGTTGTTCCAGAGCTGAAGGTGGCATAATAACTGGAAAACAAAAGGATTTGAAAAAGTAAAGGCTCTGCTGAAGTCTTTGAACATACTTTTTCCTCCTCTTTCAACATCTTGCCTTTCGTTTCCTGGTAACATTGCTACAGAGAAGCATTGGTAGGTCATGTTGAAAGGCCTAGGCATCTCGGGAAACATATTGAAACCAAACTGAAACTGATGGTAATATCAAAAGATTATTATAACATTTTGATCCCCAGATTTTCTATGAAGTGAACAATTCCTTTGTATGATAAGTTTCAGAAAAAACAATGATATAGGTATATTCTTACCATTTTGACGTCTAGGAGTCACAATAAGATATAAACAGACAATTATTTTTCAGGGCAGCAAATTATCATTGAGAGAAACCAAAATCCTGAGAGAAAAACAAAATTTTTCTACAACAACAAAAGTTTCGAACTGTCACGTAAACATAACCTCAACACCTCTTTCTTCTTCTAATTTCTAAGCCACTGTTCCTTGATGTCACATTGGTTCTTAGTGCTTGAGCAATCAATCGACAATATTCACATGGAAGAAGTGAGAAGTAAAAAAGCCATGAGCATGGGAGTGGCTATGCGTCCAACTGGCGGAATCTATTCTGTTAATCTATTATCATTTTCATAATATATTATGCTCCAATTTCTGATTTTGTTAAGAATTGTATCGTGAATTCCATTTTTTCTATGGACGAACAGGACTAACAGGAGCATACTGACAAAATCACGATGTATTTTTCTTTCATAAAGCATATTGTCCGCCTTGCGGGGTATTAAACCGAATAATAAAATCTAAAAATATAATTTCTAAATATATGATTTCAGGAACGTTTCTTTTTATTTCGAGAATACACTGGATCATTCTTCACTTCTCTATATTATAAATAAACGTACCATTTACCATTTTCCTCTATTTTTCAAATGAGATGCCTGAACGACTCATAACCTCAATCTCGGCCCCAAAAATGTGCGACGAAATCAGAGCAGAACAATTCAAAGAGGAGGGCAACAATTTCTTCAAAGATGGCAAGTGGGCTGAAGCTATCCGACTTTATACAGACGCTATCAAATTTGCTGAGACAGATTCACGAAACCTATCGATATACTACAAAAACCGAGCAGCAGCATACCTGAAACAAGAAAACTACGATGCTGCTCTGGAGGATTGCGATAAGAGTCTCCAAATTGCTCCGATGGACCCTAAAGCCCTATTCAGAAGATGCCAAGCCCTGGAAGCTTTGAAACGGTATGAAGAAGCTTACAGGGATGCAACCCAAATATTCAAAGACGATCCTACCAATAAACCTATACAACCTGTACTCGCCAGGTTATACAATATAGTACAAGAAAGGGCAAGGCAAAATGCACAGACCAGCAACAAGTTGGAAAGTATGATAAAAATTGCTTTTGATTTGGCAGAGTCCACAGAAAAACGTGAGACTGCCATGAAAAACTTGCTGGTATTAGCGAGAGATAATTCTGGGGCGCAATTGATGGTGAAATCGACACTTGTTCAGCAAATCAAGAAACTGATGAAAGTAGAAAAAAATCAAGATATTTTTCTTTCTGGTATTCGAGTGATTGGGGAACTCTGTAAACACAATGAGGAAAGAACTAAGATAGTCTTGAAAGAAGTTGGTGTGCCCTGGTTTCTAGAAATAATCGATTCCGTAGATGCAAAACGAGTAAACGCTGGTGAACATTGCATGCAAAGCATCCTAAATGCACTTTCCGGAATGGAAAACAAACCAGACACCAAACCAAATCAGGAGTTGATTGACAAGAACAAAAAACTCATAGACACCCTCCTCACTTGCCTGGTCTGCTCCATCAACAACAGATTGATATCAGGTCTTGCCAGGGACGCCATAATAGGACTTTTGATAAGAAACATACACTACAATCAACTCAACTGGTCAGAGCAACTCCTAGAGAAAGGCGGAGTCGAGAAACTCATGGAATGTGCCAGTGAGCTGGAAGAATATAAGTATGAGAGTGCTATGAATATTACTCCTAGTACCAGAACCATAGCAGCAGTATGTTTGGCGAGAGTATATGATAATATGTACCATGATGCCTTGAAAGAGACATTCATGGACCGCATCAACAATTTTATGAAAGACAAGCTACTAACACCTGATATCGAATCCAAAGTGCGCATAACAGTGGCTCTGACAGCTCTACTTCGTGGCCCGTTTGATGTGGGCAACTCCATACTAGGGAGAGAAGGCATCATGGAAATGATACTGGTAATGGCAAACACGGAAGATGAGCTACAGCAAAAAGTCGCTTGCGAGTGCATAATAGCAGCCGCCAGCAAAGCTGACAAAGCAAAAGCCATCATCAGCCAAGGAGTCAACGTTTTGAAGCAACTTTACAAATCAAAGAACGACCACATCCGCATCAGAGCCCTGGTGGGGCTCTGCAAATTGGGCAGCTCGGGAGGCAGCGATTCTGCTTCGCGACCCTTTGCAGAAGGCTCCACCCTCAAGCTGGCTGAAGCTTGCAGACGATTCTTGCTGCAACCCGGCAAGGATACAGACCTGCGCAAATGGGCTGCCGAAGGCTTATCCTACTTGACCTTGGACGCAGAAGTCAAGGAGAAAATGATCGAGGACAAGGCTGCCCTGCAAGCTTTGATAGAACTAGCGAAAAGCGGAGACCAATCAGCGCTTTTCGGCGTAGCCACAACTCTTGTCAACTTGTGCAACGCATACGAGAAGCAAGAAGTCATACCGGAGATGATCGAGCTAGCCAAGTTCGCTAAGCAACACATACCGGAAGAACACGAGCTGGATGATCCGGACTTTGTTACCAAACGCGTACTAGCCCTAGGTAACGCCAACGTGACCACAGCCCTGGTAGCTCTAGCTAAATCGGAAAGCAATCACTCCAGAGAACTCATTTCCAGAGTTTTCAACGCTTTATGTAGCGAGCCAGAGCTCAGAGGCATAGTGGTGGCTCAGGGAGGCGTTAAAGCCCTTACTGCAATGGCCTTGAACGGCACCGACAAAGGCAAAAGACAAGCCGCTCAAGCCCTATCCAGGATAGGCATCACCATCAATCCTGAGGTGGCTTTTCCTGGACAGCGGGCGCTGGAGATCATCAGACCTCTTGTAGCTAATTTGCATCCAGAGTGTTCAGCTTTGGAGAACTTCGAGGCCTTGATGGCCTTGTGCAACATTGCGCAGATGAACGAGACCGCCAGACAGCGCATACTCAAAGAGGGCGGCTTCTCCAAGATAGAACACTACATGTTCGAGAACCATGAGTATCTCTGTAGGGCTGCTACGCAGTGCATGTGCAACATGACGCAATCCGAGGATGTCATTAGGTTGTTTGAAGGAGAGAATGATAGGGTGAAGCTAGCAGTTTCGCTGTGTCTGGACGAGGACAAAGACACTGCCATGGCTGCAGCTGGAATGCTGGCTATCCTAACTGGGGCTAGTAAAAATTGTTGTGAGAAGGTTTTCGGGTCTAAAAATTGGCTGGAAGCAATGCATTATTTGCTGGCGAACCCGGTTGTTAGCATGCAGTTTCGGGGGGTTTGTGTGGTCAGCAATATTGTGGGTGCTTCCAAGGAGCTCACTGAGAAGCTCATGGAGACTGACGTCATGGAGATTTTGATGGCCTTGTCGAAATTTTCTGGTGATGAGGAGAAGAAACAGATTGTGGAGGTGGCTAACAATGCCTTGCTGGAGGCTGAGAAGTGGGGAGTCATTAAGAAGCCTGATGAGGATGATGACTGATTTTAGTTTGAACTTTGATTTGATTTTTTTCAAAGTGCCTTTTGACATGTTTGTTAATTTATTTGATTACATTCACATTTTATTTATTAAATATATATTCATAGATCATATACTGATACTCATGTCAATTCAGGTAGTCACAAAAACTACCCATACATTTTGATCAAAGTATTTTCCATTCAAAAATGGTCTCAATGATTTTTACAGTTCCAAGGTCGAGTCCAAGGTATAACCAGGTATGACAACCTAATTTTTTCAATCACTTTCTTCCTCATCACTGAAATAGTCACTTTTCTTAAATTTCTTTCTTGGATTTTCTATAACAGCTTCATCATTATAACTTCCACTTGCTACCTTATATCTGTACTCTTCTAGCTCTTGCTTTTCTTGCTGAAATTATGTTTGTAAATGATGAATGGCATTGATCAATGAACTTTTTATAATTAATTTCAATAACTGTTGTTGAAATACCTCAAATGCTATTGCAGCACTCAATGTTTCAAAGTCTTCTACTTGTTCTACCTCAGACCCATCAGACAATTTATTGTCTTCATCACTATCAAAGAACTCCTTCTGTTCCTAAATATTAAAAATGTTTGTGAGCTTGTCATGATGGAAGTAGTTACATACTTTAGTTAGTTTTGTGGAACCTGATGCTTCCTTTCTCTTTCTTTTTCTAATTTTCTTTGGGGGAGGTTCACGAATGCCAAGCAAGTTTTTTTCACATTTGTAGCTCAAGTGACCATATTCTCCACATTCATAGCATTGAGATTTATTCGGATATTCCTGAAAACCTTGTGTATTCATCAGAAAACATACTTAACTGAGCTATGTACCTTCCTTCTGATGAATTCTGTTGTTCTGCCATTATCTTTTGCAATGCTGACTTTCAATGTTCGACCAAACATCTAAAAACAACATACTTCACTTGGATCAGGAACTATTATAGCAAGTACAGTCTCACTTCTTTCATGTTTGTTTCCTCAACACACTTTTTGGCATCTTCTTGTTTCAAGTATAATATAAATGCAACACCCTTGCTTCTTCTGGTACCTTTTTCTTTCATCACTGTAACTCTGGAAAAAAGAGAATATATCAAAATACAGTTTTAATGTGAAATAGGTATCTGATTACTTCACAATTTTTCCATATTTCTCAAAGAGTTTATGAATGTCATTGTTCTTCAGATCGAAGGGTAAATTTGAAATATAAACAGTACTTTTACTAGGAGCCAATCCTCCACTCATGATTTTCAGATTTAAATAGTGGGTTTTAGGTTTTAGGTTTTGATTTTTCGAATTTTTGAAATTTACATAGGTGAGGTTAACTTGAATTATGTTTTTAATTCTTATTCTTTTAGCCTTCTGCCAGGTGTGCTGTAGGACTGTTAGGACATAACAAACTTCTTCTTATTTTGCTTGACATCTCATTCTATTTATTTTCTTCTGTCTTTTGTTGATTCTACTCTTCATGTTCCTTGCCAGATTTATTACTGCCCTCAAACCCAAGATCAGTAAAGCTTCAGGCCGATGTGCAAATTTGAAGTATTTGATTTGGTGAACTGTGGTGAAATCCACGATAATATGTCATGAATATGTCATTGTCAATCAATTTTCTTGGAAAGTTCTGAATGATCTTGATCTGATTTTTTGTGTGTTGTTTGATCTGAATCTGACTTGTCTCATGTCTGTGTTTAGTTTTTTTGTGTTTTTTTGCATGGTGACTGGTGAGTGGTGAAATGGTGGTGAATGGTGAACGATTGGAATATTTGGAATTTGGAGCAATTATTGGAATATTTCTGAAATTTATTATTGCTAGTTGAATTTTATTCATTTTGATGATTTTTGACTAGATTGAATAGTGTGGAATTGTAGAAAAGTCAACTCTTGCCTGGTTGCACATTTCTCAAGTCAAGGCATCCAGATCCAGACAGGTAAATATGCGCCCACTGCACTTACCTACCCTCCTATTTTTGATGTTGTGACCATTTGCCGTTTAGTTTTATTTTGTTTAACATTGATCGCATTTTTTGGAATTGCAGTTATTGATCTACAATAATATGTGAGTGAGGTGTGTATTTCCATATTGAGCATGTATTCAGTTTGAATTTAGGTCGTTAAAAAATTTAAGAGCCAATGATTTTGGAATTTTCATTGTATAATGACCTGCCAGATGATTCATTACATTACCATATAATTTGTTTACTTATATTTCTATATTATGCTTTCCATGAAAGTAGTGCAGAAGTTTAATCCACTTGGTTAGTCTGTCCAATCTTATGTTAGAATTCATCCCTTTATAAACAATTTCCTAGCTTATATTTTATATACAGGGTACAGATATGATTATATTTGGATTGGTCTAACAAATAATTGAAATGGACCAAGAGCAATTGAAGGAAGATGTGGTCAAAGCCATAAGAGGGCTTCTGATTTCCTCAAAGGCAAAAACAAGTCTCAGGCAACTTGAACGTAAGGATGTCAATCAAGTTTCAATGAGTTGGGCTATAATATATGAAATCTCATGTTTTTCAGGTGACTATAGAACTGTGTTAGGAGATAGAATTCCTTATGGCAGACTGGGATTCAGGAATTTGGAACAATTCATTTCCTCTGTACCTACTTTGGTACTCAGTGAGATGAATGGGGAACTTTTTGTAGTTCCCAAAGTGTTACAGCAGTCTGCTCACATTGCAGAAATGGTGCACTACCAAAAGGCTGATAAGAAGAAGAAGTTAGTACTCATTACCAGTATATTTGAGCATTTCAGAATGCATTGTTGATTTTTTATGGTTGCATAAGAATATAATTTATCTGAAGATGCCATTTTGTCACAAACCATTCAGATTCAACAGGTGTGGATCAAATGGAGAAGTCATAGGTTCAAAATATGGTTTAATGAATGTTTTTTTTTATTGATTCATGAAGATGTAAAATCTATTCAGGAGAAAATAATGTTTTCCTAGAAAAACACCCATGGAATATTCAAATTTCTTGCTTTTACTTTGGAGGGTCAGTTGAGTGATTTTTCACATTTTCCATAGCTCAAATATTTATATAAATTAGTAGGGCAATTCCAAGAGCAATTCACTGTCATGAATGTGCATGAAAAACATGTTATACCAATTTGATAAATTTACAGGAAGATAGATATTGACTGCAGTTTATTTTATAATTTTTCCTTGTTTTCAAGATATCCTACAAAAGTCATTTTGGTGCTTCTTCATGCTTGTTTATAAATTATAATGGCAGGATGACCAATCATGTTTTGCAAGTTTCTGGCTCATTTGTGTTGAGTTATTGCCTACAATATTCATGTTCACCATTTTGCAAGCTCATCATCATATGATTAGGGAGCTGATAATTTCCAAATCAGTTTTTTTTTCTCACAAAATCACTTTGTATGATAAAAAAGATAATAGAGTAGTTCATAAACATAATTATTGTGGTCAAGTGAGGTGAAACCTCCCAAAACATTAAACAAGAAGCACCAAAATCAATTATGTTATAGAAATTTCGAGAATCAAGAAAAATCATACAAAAATTGTAGTTAGAAAAAAGTTAGGTTATTGATTTTGTCATTCATTGGAATATCAAAATGTGATCAGTGGGGTACTCAAAAAAAGTTAGATCAATTTTCATCAAAGAGATTGCAAAATACCGATCTCCCTGTATATTTATCGAATTGGTATTCAAGGATTTTGAAATATTCAAGAAAATCTGGAAATAAAATTATTCTTCATTGCCCTCTCATGTCACAGCAGTACATTTTCCTATAGAGGTGAGTTGATTTCAATCAGTCTATTCAGGTCTGAAGTTCACCCTGTAGAATTTATGGTATGTTGTTCTGGGGACTTTTTTTTCACATCATTAGGTCCATGGCAGGAGTACATTGTTCTACGAGACAGGTGGCAGGAAGTGCTCTTTTTCCTAACTGATATGTCAGTAAATGATTAGTAAAGTTTCAGGTTTTATCACGTTTATCATTTACTTGTTTTTTTTAACAACATTGATAAGCTGCTGATAAGCGTTGTCCCATGATTGAGGTGGATTTTGTTGATCAGCTTTATTATTACAATAGACAACAAATATAACCAAGCTTTATGAAATAAGACATTGAAAAATGTCGCTGGCCCCCAGGCTATTATTACACTTACATAATGTATGAAGCACTAAATTTTGAATAAACCAATTATTATCTTCCTTTTTTTTTTCGGAGGCCTGTTTTTACAGCAAATTTTAATATTCCATTTAAATCCTGATTTACATTGAAAAAAATCAGTTGATTTAAATCGTTGCAATCTTGGTCTGTGCCCTCGAAGGTCGTGAGCTATTTTGTCATTGTTCCAACATGAAACATTTTTGTTCACTAACTTGAATGAAAAGCGGCTCTCGACAGGAATTTGGAAATTTTCCAGGGTTAGAAAAACGAATGAATAACTCAGTTTTGAATAGAGGTCGAGCTTGCTGTGATTTAAACATATTTTTTCTGTGACGGGAAAAAAGTTTGGCATTTCATCTCTGTTGGCAGGTTAAAAAATGACACTGTTCATAAGTTACTTTTTTCCCGTCGGAAAAAAGTGAGGACTGTTTTCCCGGTAATATATCACATATTATACAGTATGATGCAAATGTATGGAATAAATTCATTTCAAAACAAGACGACTTTCGAAAAAAAAAAAAATACTAGAGTTTAGAACTTTTTTTTCGACGTATTTTTTTAACTAGACGACCCTTCGATTTTCAATTCTCAGTAGCAGACCTCTGCAAGATTCAATTAATCACATGATAATCCATTTTAATTTCAATCTTCTTATGCAACATTTTTACTGTTGAATAGACGATCGGTAGAGCTTTCAATCAAGGTGTCACATGACCCCTATTTGTATTTGAAAAAATCGTCCATTACGTCTTTACTCCAACACCGGTGACGTAACATCTCTCATATGAATATCATGAGATGAGGCTTCAGAAATTAAAACTCACGTGTTTTTGGAATTCTTTCAAATGTCGCCCATTTCTGAAATAATGAATTTATTCCATACAGTTGCATCATACTATATATATATACACTGTTGATGGCTTTCGTTGTGCTATAGTTCCGAAAAATGAGTCAATAATACCGTATCCGAGAAAGAACTGCAAGTCCTTTTATCTTCCATTCGACTTCGCGGTTACGTTTATTACTAAACAACCACTCAATTCGCAATTTTTTGAAATCAAATCACAGAATTAGACTGACAGAAGTGACATCAGATATTTGATTACTTCAATAATGATAAAGATGCCTACAACGCAGCTGTCCCTACTATTAAAAACTTGAAATTTCACGTCGATAATTTTCAGATTTACAGATAATGTAATATCTTCTCAATATTGATTCGTCCCTTCTTCTGTCAGAGAAAAAAATAGTGGTCACGGTTTTTTGTCCACACAACCTGGAGCTAAAATCTACTACTTTTTTCCCTTGTATAATAAATAACTATTTCTTCCAATGAACAGACAATATAATATCATACCTCGCCTAGTAGATTTTCAATGTTTCCATTAAAAACGACAATGGTATTGAATGTGATGTAATAACTCATATAAAAACCTAACCTATCGACGTTCCCAACCCCAAATCCCTAAGATTCGTCCCCAAATATGCTCCGACTAATTATAACAAGTTCAATCCTCATTGCTGAAACAAGTGGCTGTACACTTATAGAGTAATTGTGCCTAATAACTTATTTTCTGTTGTATATTCTTGTTCTTATTGTTGACACAATTGGTGAATAAATACATTATTATTATCCACGTTCTGGTATGTGCGAATCACTTGAAAGAAATTAATAAAGACGTGTCCAGGCATCAGCCTCACTCTCATCATTTTTCTAACACGTTATCAGTCCCAAAACTCTGCGATTCGCCTCCAGAGATTCTCCAATCCCGCCGATGACAAATAAATTACTAGAGGTCGCTAGCTTTCTGAAAATATCGTCGATAAGGGTGATTTCTGCATATTTTTTCCCAATGAATAGACAGTATTATCTTGTCTAGTAGGTTTTCAATGTTTTCATCAACAACGACAATGGTATTAATGTAATACTGAAAGATGAAATGCAATAACTGAAATGATAACTGAAATTGTCAACCTGTGGATTCATTTGTTAGATTTTGATTTCACTTCAAATTCATATTGAAGGGAGTATTGTTAGATAAATATTTTATCAATATAATGATAAATTTTATTGTTACTATTATTTTTATCATTATTATTATTGAATATCATTTAAATTTTTCATTATTTTGTATGTTTCTCGAAACAAATGGTCGTTCACAATAACATATTTTCAATTGAAAAGGAATATTCTCAGATAAATTATGAACATGAAAAAATGGGTATATATTTAAATAAAGAAATACATTGAGAATTCGCATTCTATCTGTGATACATATCAATTCTTTCTCGGTTTATTCAACAGAAAACAATGCAAATTCTCAACTTCAGAAGATTTTGTAATTCTTATCGTGTATGTTTAACAGATACAACTGTCCCACTGGTCTAGGGACACCCTGTATATTATTTTTTATGTTCATAATTCATCTGAGAATATCCCTTTTCAATGATTTGGATGGAAACTTGTTATTTTTATAGACCTGAGCGCAGATTCGTGAGTTTCTCAATTCAGAATGTCTTTCCACGCCCTGTATGATGAATATCAATTTGTCATACATCCAGGAACAACATATTTTCTGTTCATATTATATTCATGTTGTTGACACAATTCGTGAACCACGTTCTGTTAGCACGTGGTTCCACTTATTTGGGTCGTCCACCGATTTACATCATCGTTTACACGTTCCTAGCCCCAAAACTCTGCGATTCCCTCCGAAATATGCGCCGAAATTCTCCAAACCCGCCCCGGCCACCAGCAATTGGCGCCCCAACCACACGTCTTCGCCTCGCAAACACTACCAGACGTCATCTAGGCCGGCCGCCGTCTCTCACAACCAGTTCCTCAGCTACCACCGGCCGTCTGTGCCGTCCAAGGTCGTCATACCCGAGCACTCGACGATCAAAGCCGAGCACTCGACGATCAAAGCCGAACACTCGACGATCAAAGCCGAACACTCGACGATCAACGGGCCGACGCAGAACGTGATGGCGGTGCGTGGGAACAGGACTGCGCACAGGACGGAACACCAGGGGGGCAAGATGGCGCAGAGCGAGCCGGTCGTCATCACTCCCGATCGGAGTGTGTATGTCAACGGGAGTTCCATGACGGTGAGTTATATCCTTGTACTAAACCACCTGACCCGGTAAACGTTGTTTTATTTCTAGAAAATATTGTTTTAGGTAAATGTTTATCACACACACTTTTATTATTCTATTTTCTAGTTATTTTTAGTTCGACAGTCTATGTCTTTAATTTTTTGAACTACTATTCATTTCCTACTTCCTTATAGTTTGGCTATCTATAAAAGCATGTTTATTCAGTTTTTCTACTATTTATTACATAGCTCATCGTTCGCCATATTGAATTCCCAATTTATACAAAAAATATTGCATCCGTCATCTTGAATATCCTGATTTTGCTGAAGAAATCATAAATTCCGACCCCGCAAAACCCCCAGACACCAATATTCAATATAATCGGATCATAATTACAAAACAGGTCCGTCATATTACATCTGCCATCTTGAATTTCCAAATGTTAACTAAGAAATCATAATTTCCGACCCCGCAAAACCCCCACACACCAATTTTGAATAGAATCGGATCATAATTACAACACTCGTCCGTCATATTGGATCTGCCATCTTGAATTTCCAAATTTTCATGAAAGAATCATAATCTGACCCCGAAAACCCTCAGATACCAATTTTGAATAGCATCGGATCATAATTACAACACTCGTCCTCCATATTGGATCTGCCATCTTGAATTTTCCAATTTTGATGAAAGAATCATAATTGCCGACCCCGGGAGTCCCCATATACAAATTTTGAATAGAATCAGATTATAATTACGAAACTCGTCCGCCATGTTGAATCCGCCATCTTGAATTTTCAATTCATAATATAGACTACGACCGATTCTCAGACCTACCAAATATTTTCTAGAATGCCGTTTCGGAGAAATTTTATGTAAGAGATTAAGTATTCTTGAATTTCCTAATTTTCCGCGCAAATTTGAAATTTGGCCAGTGTTTCTAGGTGGAGAATGAGATGAGCGATAGACTTGACATGAAAAAGCGGTAGATTTAATAATAAAACGGCATATATAGTTTGAAAAATGCAATTTCTGCTATCTACTAGTCATTTACGAGTTTGGTAGTTAGCCTTGTAGTTAGGTAGGTAATTACCAGGAGCAGAGACAGGAGTAAAAAAGATTTACATAATTCCGGGCAAAAAAATAGAAAATTGTGTGTAATCAAGAATCTTGTTGGGTATTCACCGATTACCGATGTTTGCTAGGGGATTCACCGATTACCGATGTTGGCGATGTTTGCTAGGGGATTCACTGACTGAAGCGAAACATTTAAATTTAAAACATAATAGGCAATCAATACATTTTAATATTTCCCTGAATATTATTTATCAGATTCACATTGAAAGAGACGTATTCAAATGACATTATAATCTAATCAGTAGAGTCACTGGATGGTATTAGTTTGATAAGAGTTCGGACACCACAGAAATGATAACGGTTAGGGTTTTTGAATGTTTAGATTCATAAAGTTACACGCCTTTCATTGTGACAAGAGCACCATAGTCGTCCCGCGCTTTTTCATTGGAAGTTGTTTGAATTTGACAATAAATTTTATAAACGTCAGAATTGATATAAAATTTCATGATTATACAATTTCATGATTATACTTTCGAGAAAAAAGCAGTTCTGGAAATGACTTGCTGTTTAATGAATTGTGCCAATTCTGAACAAAATGAATATCGTTGAAAAGGAATATACAAAGATAAATTATGGACATACAAAAAAATGGATATATATTGATATGAAGCAATACATGGAAACTTGTGATTTTTATAAACCTCTAATCGCAGATTCGTGATAAAGTCTCAATTCAGAATTTCTTTCCACGCCCTGTATGATGAATGTCAATTTATCATACACCCAAAAGCAAAAATGAATATCATTTATTCAATTTTCCAAAACAAATATCAACGATTCGCTTATGGAGGGAAGATATGAAACGGCCTAGGTGGAAAATCAATTTGAAGACGAGCAAAATTTGTGAGGTACTCATTAAAATTAACTTGTTATAACAGCATCTGATTAGAATGAAACTATATTTTAGGCCCATTTTCAAACAGAAGATTTCAAAATCTGTTCTGTTCTGCTGTTCTCTCAATTAACAAAGCAGACGATATCAAGAACAAAATTCCATTATCATCATCGCACAAAATATAAAACAAAATAATCATGGAAAAAGAGGAATTGATCGCAAAATTACACAATGAAATTGAAAATTTGAAAACGAAACTAAGAAAAGCAAGTAAACTACAACGTGATATATTATTTAATGGCGTTTTTGGTACCGACCAAATTCAAAATTTAACAGTGAAAAGTGAATGCAGGAAAAGGTGGAAAATCAAAACAATAAATAAAGCGTTTGCCATCAAATATACTTGTGGTACCACAGGTTATGAACACCGGCTGAAAATGAAGTTTCCTCTTCCGTCTATGAGGACCCAATCTAGGAAAATTGAGCTAAGTGAAGTTGCTGAGAACTTGGGCGTGTACACCTTAGTAGAACTTTTAACTCAAACCATGTTTATAATGATCCTTTTATACATAAATCATGATTGATGACATAATTCGATCGGAAAAATTAACTGAAATGTTTTATGTTTGGACATAAATAATAGTACCTTCTGAAAACGGACCCTCTTATGACGTAGAAACCTCATCTCGCCATAGTTAAAAGAAAATACCAAACGCCCGACGGAGACTGAGGCAACTGATATATTAATTCTATCAACTGTGATCTCGCGCTAATTCACTCTGTCAGAAATCATGTCTCATTCATCTCTGCCTGGAATAGTCTTGTTTCAGTATTAGGGTTTTGACGTCACATCATCGCCTCGTTTTCGGAGGTCCGAAAAATCGGGGATTTCATTAATTTTTTATAAATCGTAGGGAGCTCACAGAAAGAAACGGTTTGCGGTGGTGAGCTAGTTTGGGTGAGTTCTATCGAATTATTAAATAAATTTTTTTTGTGATATAAGCCCATTATGTGGTAGGTCTCGTCAAAATAAACTACTTTATTCTCTGTATTTGAACACCTTGTATCTCCGAAATAAAGCATTTCCGGACACAAGTTCATATACTTTTTTCCTTAAAATTGTCTCAGGAATACTTCTCTTGAACGTACTTATGTTACTTCCTGTATAGCATTCTCATTATTTTTTAACCAACTTCAGATCGGAACTTTTTTGCAGATACAAACCAACGTGTCGAACTCTAGTAGCACCAAGCATTCCGAATCGAACAACAGCTCGGAAGGATGTTCGGTGTTGTCGCACACGAAGAAGCGTATAACGAGAATGATGTCGGAGATCAGCGTGGTCAAAGACAGGGACAGCGGGAACAGCAGTCCCACCGACGAATCGAACGTGACGGCCAGTGCTTCTATCATCGGCGGCTTGGGCATGGTGTCCAATGCCCTTCAGTTACCGCTTTCCACTAGGGTGAGTGTGGGTGTGGGGTGTCCCTCAGGTGTCCCTCAGGGCTCTCACTGTGGACCCTTACTATTCAATCTTTTTATAAATGACATTTCCGATGTTTTCAAAAGTGAAAGCTTCTTAGTTTTTGCTGATGACTTCATCAGAGATGTCCTAGACAGTCAAATTCTTCAAAATGACCTTGATCTTTGGTGCGTCCGTAACAATCTCGACCTAAATACCGATAAATGTCTTACAATATCGTTTCCCGTTCTTATAATGTTATATTCTTGAAAGAAGTAACGGAGATTGAAGATTGAAGATGTTGTCAACATTTCTCCCTCGTTCGTTTCTGATTTGCCTGGCTGGTATTGGAGCCCTGGAAGAGAAGGCGGTATGGAGGGTTCTATCATCCGCGAAGCTGTGTACTGGACATGAAATTGCTTCCAACAAATCGTTGATATGGAGTAGAAATAGTGTTGGTGCTAGAATTGATCCTTGCGGAACACCAGCATTTTTTATAAGAGAGTCAGATGAAACTATGTCGACCACTACATGGAGAGACACAGAATAGGAGGTTTCGCCCTCTAGAAATTCGGCCGTTTTCTGAACTTGGATGCTCTCCGGAATCCGGTACTGCTCAAAATATATCTCAAGATCCAATAAAAATTGCCGAGGGTATTCCAAATTCAGGCCGCTGAAGCTTAATGATTTGATAGTATTCACGGGTTGTCGAGATTTCCTCCCAGATATGTGCTGTGATAAGAGCTACTTTTTTCAGCGTGCTGTTAGTTTGATCGTTTTGTTGGCTTAGGTACCACGTAGTTCGTTCAGAACTACGAAACTTGTCATATTCGGAATTCGTATCTGGAAGACATTTATAAGAGTTCATTTCATTCCATCTGGAATAACTTATCGCCCCACGTTGGGCGCCATGTCGAAGTTTATTTTCCTCGTCATGTGATAATGAGTTGAAACAAAAAGCAAATAAAAGGGGTTAATGTTCTCTTTGCGAATAACCAAACGTGCCGCGATTCAAACTGATCTAAGTTAGCGTCAAAATTTCCGAGAATATTTCGCCCCTGTCGAAAGATAATATCCGATGGACGCAAGTTTTGCTTTCGCAAAATTCGCTTACCAAAAAGGTGTTACTAAAACAATCTACTATTTTAAAAGCCTCCCGAATATCAAAGTTAGTTATTTTCCTGCTTCAAAATGAAGGATATTCCTAGATAATTCTGTAACATGCGGCCATATTTTGCTGAATTTCGCTAGAGTCGCCTACAAACCAGCCAACAACTGAGGTAAAATTTGGCTTCAATATTGTTCATGGAGGTGGACCATCTTGTTAGGGTAAACGATCAAGGGTATTAGTTAATTTCATCTTGTATTAATTGAAATTATGTTTATATTAATAAAAATTTACCATTTGGCACACAGGTCTTTCATCCATTTTTTGAGGAGCAAGTTGAAAATGTATGTAAATTATTTTGGTTTGTAGAAGATTATTGATGTTGGAATGAAATGTTTTTACAAGTGTCCTAGATGAGTGACAAATAATCATTTTCTTGAAATCGACAATGTGAAGTAATTCATTCTTTTATTTTACTTCTGATAGGACATAATGCAGAAATTTCGTTCACTTAATATTTCAGATTATCGATTTTGAGAAAAATATAATGTGGATTTGTAGCAAATAGTTTAACCCTATGCTACCCATTAACGGTTTAGAATTTTTATATTTCTTTGAAACCTTCCTTAATTATTATGATAAATATCTGGAATAAATTCAGGAATTCGTATTTTAGGGCATAGAATACATACAGACGGGAGATCCAATAATCGATCTGAAGAAATTCGCTGAGCTTTACAAATTAGGTGATGTGGAAATTTCCACCAATCTGATCAAAACGAAACAGAATAGATTGCACACTTGCAAAATCAAGGTGAGTTCAACTCTCTGTGTGTTTCTGTCAACTTGAGAATATTGAAAAATATTTTTTACCAGGTTGGTAGTAAAATTTACACTAGTTACCCCAAAGAATTTAGTAATGAATGGGAGGCCAAAAAATATTGTGCCTCTGCAGCTTTCAATGATCTGCATTCGAAGCATGATAGACGAAAATGTTTGCTGGTGTCCAGTGATACAGACATATTGAACAGAATACCACCTCTTCTTGAAAAGCACAATCATGGTGAGAAAGAACAATAAAAGAATCCAATTGATCAAAAAATTATTGATGATTGTTTTTAGGGATTTGGAACTGGCAGCTTCAATTAGATTATGCAGATATGTACAGTGAGCAGTTACCATCAGATTGGCTGAAAACCATCGACAGTAGTCCTTGCATCCAAATCGAAAAATGCTCGGACAATTATGTACTGAGACATTGCAAACCTGAAGACGTAAGTTTTCGTAGGTATTTGTGGTTCATGTGCACCACAGCAAGAAAAAAAATGGAAAAATGGGGAGAAAATCTGGGTTTGTGTTAGTACCAGTTTCAGTGACGACAAAGATAAGTGGGAAGTTGAAAATGTGTGTCTTATTCTCTGAATATCTAGAGACTACTTGGAAGTCTCTACAATCCAGAGTTTCTCCATTTTTTGAAATGTGTGGTATTTCTTTTTCACTTACTATCTTAATTCCTGGTGATTCATTAACATTTGGATGTTGTGATGGTGTTGGCTTGCATTCATATTTCAGCATCATAAAATCGTGTTTGCATCAAATTACGATTTGGTAGTTGAAGATTTTTTTCCATTGAAATTGTTCTAAAATCGAACAAAAAACATGCTGGAATCTAAATCGGAGAATGTTTTGAGCATCAAGAGAAAAACCAATGATTTTTATTCAAATATCACAATAATTTGAATCGAATTGTCAAATCACTACCACTGGTACCATTTTTAATATTCTTCAATCAACATTGACATTATAGTACATATTATATCAAGTCAAAATCACTGCACAAAAATTCCAAAGACCTTTTAAAAAACTACCATTGTAAATATAGTATTCTTCCACTATTCAACTGGAAATATGCTGCGTTGACATCTGCATAAAATACCGAAATTGAAGAAAATATAGTACACAACTGGAGTTGTTACTTTCTCAACCTTGTACGATCTACGTTTTATAACTTGTTATACGTTTACTGTTATTCACAAAATAATGCCTCCAAGGACATTTCAAAATCGAACCACTGTACATATTTTTTGAGGTCACGTTATTCATAAAAAAGCTGTCGCCTCTGCTGACAATTCGGGCAATTCTGTTCATCCTAGATCTCTTTGTTATGAGATCTAGTTCAATGAATAAGACTGGTGGATCATTCCACTCACAAAGTCAGGTAGTGCCATCTGTCTGCAGAGTGGTAGTACCACTTTGTAACGTGTAAACGTAGGAATCTGTACGTGTTGACCGCGAGGTATATTACGACGCTCTTACACTATCTTTATATGGAATATCAGTCGCAAGTTTATGAAGATGTGCATGTTACACATATTTGAGATTACGCTCTCTTCTTTCGAAATATTTTCGACAATGCAGTGTTGCCGCTTCTACTAGAAAGTAGTAGCAACTTTGATATTTCAAATAGAAGACCCTGTATTTCATTGCATGTTTAGATTTTCCCTGAAGAGCTGATTCATCAATGTATCACACTTGGGGTCTAACGAAAATGATCACAGAGGTATAGGGTGTTCAAAACCGAGATTTTTCCAACTTTAGGATTATTTTGTGTCGAAACTATTCATTATCGGTCAAAACGGCAGTCATGTCCTTGTCTTAACTATTGATTTACCATCTTCTGACATTTGATCGGAACAGATACAGAGTGATCAAAATTCTGAATTTACAGAACAGATAGAGGGCTGTTCCAATTGAATGTCAGTAGATTATTACATCGAATGTTCAGATAGAGACATGAAATAACGAATAGTTTCAAAATCCTGAAGTTGTTAATCTGGGTTCTGAACACTATACAAGGTGCTTCATAATATATGTGCAGGAGTCCAGGGTCTGATACCTCGTCCAAAAATATGAAAAAAGTTTTCATCAACTTACCCTCTAATATGCACCAGTTTCGAGATACAGGGTGTTGAAATTTGAAAAAAAAATCGTTTTTCGCGAATATCTCTGGAACCATTTATCGCACAGAGAACAACTTTCGTAAGCATTTTGTACTCATAATAAACTATGTTTTGTGCCGAATTTATTTTTTTAAAGTCATGATTGGTGAAGATTTTGAAGGGTGAGTGGATAGTTTTCTCCCCAACTGCTACGCCACTGGAAAAAGTACAGATTCGAGCCGCTCATTCGAACAACCAATGTTTTCTACACAAAAGAGATACTCGTGGTCATGAGCTATGAAGTTGACCGTTTTTGATAAAAATCAACTTTCATATTGAAAATCATGGTAAATTTTTCAAAACAATTTTTTTTACCAATTAAACAAAATCTGAGGTTAATCGAGGAGGCGATACATTCATTATTTTCCAGATTTTTTGAGATTTCTCCTCGTTTCTATAAAATTAAAATATGAAGATTATTTTAATATATGTGAGGTGAGGACAAATCAGATGATTTTCCCAAAATGAAACTGCATTTAAAAAATGTTCCTATCAGAGAGCATAAAGGAAAAATTCACTAGCTTGTCAGTGACAATTTGTCTCGCAATTTGTATTGAATAGGTTTGGAGAAAAGAAATAAAGGTATATAGAAAAAATATAAAATTTTCACTTAGCTTTGGACGTCTCCAATTGTCACTAAGTACTGAGAAGTGTCAAGACAAATCCGAATTTGCTATACAAATATCCATTTTTTATGTTGAAAACGGGAGCAGATTCGTTCCCGAACCGTCACCATTGTCTTTTGTACATATTATTTCTAACAAACCTAACCTTTTGCACTAAAGTCGTTAAGGCTGTTCGTCCTAATGCCAATTGGAAATAATGCTACCCAACCCTCATAGCACATCATCTAACCCTTCCCCCCCCTAACCTGCTTGGATTCGCTTTGGGCTAACCTGGTTTAACGAAGGTCGCTTTCTCTCTAACCTCCTAGGTATTGCAGAAAAACAGGTCGTGGAGCACCTTCAAGACCCTGTCGGACGTCTCGGTGCCCTCCAACACCGTCCAGTTCCAGGAGGACGGGAAACTGTTTGCCGAGGTCACGTGCGTCATGTCGGCCAATGAGATTTGGTGTCGGCAGTGTTCCACACCGGAGAGCGTAAGTTCGATCGTTTTTCTATTGGTTAGATTGTTAACTTCTTGATTATGAATCATTGAAAAGTGTTTTTTTTACGCCAAATGCCTCTCAAGTGTGTACGGAATGTGGACCTTAAACCCCCGCTTGAAAGACCAGAGTCCAACGACTATCGTTTGAACTAGAGTTCCTAAATGTACTTGACACTGCTTCTTTGACTTTTTTTGTATATTAGAGTACGGACACTATGACCAGCACTGACAATCAGACATAACCACAAATAAATTGATGGAAAAAGCGGGAACTGACAGTACACGGACGTACATGACATAAATTTCAAAGGTTTGACAAATTGAGAGAGTTAGGAAAAAGATGCAAGTTTTTGCAGTTTCCAACTGTGAAAACACGGGAAATCAATTCACCCCATTCAAATTTCCATCGGATAACGTAATTCTACAAAAATGGAAACTGTATATGATGCGGCCGGCATGGAATATAGGTTCAGGCCACAAAATTTGCGAGGTATTCAAATTTCTTGGTAGGTTCTTCAGAACGGAAGATTTGATGTTGAAGAATGTATTGAGAGAAAGAGCCGAACCCACAATTTATAAACTGAGTGAGTATCGAAAAGAACCTAATTCCAATTTAGAACATATTTTGAAAGAAAAAGACTTGGGAATCGAATTTTTTAGAGCAGGAATATTCAAAAATCCAAGATTTACGAGTGGAAGAGAGTGAGGAATTCAGGAAACATATAGAAGAAAAAAATAGGGAATTTATCAGTTTTTACCCCATTCTGAAGTTTTGTGATGAAAAAATATTCAACTGAACGTATATATTATATAAACCTACATACAAGAGACTTATTTCATAGGAATAGTATATGTATTTCGTTGGTATATATGTACATACCAACTTGATATCGATCTCCATTGAGGTCCTTCAGCATTATCATTCAATATTTCGAGAAGAATAATGGTCCAATCAATATATCGTACCCTTTTACCCACTCGAGGAGACGCTATGTACTCTCAGACAAAAATCAAAGACTGAGAAAGATATATGGATGTACTCTTCCCAGGACTTATGGAGGAAGGAAGATGCGAGGATCCTTTATCTAAGCGAAAAACATATTCTTGTCCTTGTCTGGCAAAAACATATGATTTGCTTCAAAATCGTTTGTGGTTATGTTTGATTGTCACTGCTTGTCTAGTGTCCGTACTCTAATATACAAAAAACTTCAAAACAGCAGTGTCCAGTACATTTAGGAAGTCTACATATAGCTAGTTCCCTATTGTATGTAGAACTGTACTCGAGTGATGAACCTTTTTATAAAAGATATTGTTGATTGGTAAGATGTTAATATTATCTTCCTTTTTCAATGGGTTCAATTCTACTATAAATTTTTTCGGTTTCGAAAATTATCGTCCCGAGTCTAATAGTGCTGAGAGCAGTTTTGTCAAAGTATTTCTGAGATTCATGGATGGATATTAATAGAAATCTAGAGATTAGGATAATATAATCTTTCAAAATTGAAGAACAACTTGTGTGGCAATATTCATCTCATTTTTGCGCAATGATTACACTAAGAAGTTGATTTGAACACTCCCGTTTAACAATTTTTTTTTTCAAGTATAGGTCGCGTGTACGATGACCGACCCTGGAGGTATAACATTGGAACCCAACCTCACTTTTCTGTAAAACATTGAAACACAACCACACCTTTTGTATTTTCAGAGGAATCAAAGGATTGAAATAGTTTTCCACAATATCTTGGTATACGAATCGTGTTTTTTGCGCTAATCATTAATTCAAGCATTCCTTCTCATTGTGCTGTTGTAAAATACAAAAAAAAAGCAACGAGAGACGAAGGAATATGATTTCTCAGGTGAATAGTAATCTCACATTATGAAATTTTGTCACTTCTTATTAAAATTCCTTCTGCTATTTCTACAATAGAAGCTAATACTGCTAAAAGATTGAAAATGTCTACAGCACACACGATCATATTTCGTCAGCTTGTCAGACCAGTCCTCCCGTTTGATTGCATGAATCCAATCTTCTTGCATTTTTTTAGAAATTTCACCAGTATTCCTATAAGCTCCTATTGCAAAAGGAATTCCGATGGAAAATCAGATAAATTACCAAATTTCAAAATGAAAACTATATGTGAGTGACTATAGTAGGTACTTACTTCTAAATCATAATATACTAACCGGATTCCTTCGTCTCTTGCTGCATTTTTTGTGCATTGTACAACAACACAATGTGATGGCATGCGCGAATCAATGAATAGCCGAAAAACACGATTCGTATGCCAATCTAATTGTGAAAAACTCTTTGAATCATTCGTAAACAAAAAAGTGAGGTTGTGTTTCAATGTTTCGCCTCCAGGGTGGGTCATCTGACAGTTCTTGTACGCAACCCATTGAAATCTAACCTAGAAATCGATGATTTTCATATCGTTTTCGCACGAAATGTTCTTATTCTTGTCAACAGGATGCGTTCAATCGGATGGTGGAGCAAATGGAAGAGTTCTATTCCACGCACAAGGACAGCCTGCGAGCCGAGAAAATCAACGCGGCCGGCTACTACGTCACCGAATTCGAGAGCCAGTGGTACAGGGTACGCGCCGTCGCAGTGGGGGAGAGCGACGTCTCCTGCTTCTTCATCGACTACGGGGACGAGATGTTCGTCCCGAACGATAGCATTTTCAAGCTGAAAAGAGAGTTCGCCAAATCGCAAGCTCAGGTAATGTTTGGACATTCAGAAATTCTCTTGGTTTTCAGGATGTTCTCTGAACATTACAAGATATTACTTTTCGGGGGAACCAGAACATAAAAAAATGTGTGTATTGATTACAATGAGACTTTATTGTGGCTTTATTCCGAATAGAGCATTTTCAGAGACGTCATATGTCGGCCATTGAACAACTGATGGGGGGACAAGCATACACATTTTCCATAAGGGTACATGGAACTTTCTTGCACATTTACCACTAAAATACAATACCTGGAGCATTTATTTATTGACATGTTTGTTAATATATTCATCATGAATCCTGGGAGAGAAGTGAATGAGTCCAAAGAAGAGTTCAAATTGGTTTATTTGATCAGCAGACATTGCTCTATTGAGCTCCTTTCTACCTTGAACGAGAGAGAGGAAAGTTCTTCTTTTCCATCTTTCTCTTCAGTAATAGGTCCGATAAATCCTTCCTTGTCTAACATCTACTCTGCGCCACTGAACTATTTTCGATGTTATAATGATGTGATATGTCTGTCATAAATGTCATTGACCGATAACCTTTCCAATTTTTTATATGAAATTTCGAATTATATCATACTTATTTTGACATAATTTGTTAATATCGTTAAATTCAACTCTCTGCTGGATTCAAAAATAGTTCAGTGGCACAAACTCGATGTTAGACAAGGACAGATTTATCGGACCTCTCTATATTTCAATGCGGCTACGTTGGTATCATTGAATAGAAAGACGGAAAAGGAGAGAACCTTCCTCTCTCTCGTTCAAGGTAGAAAAAATCTCAATTCAACTGTCAGCAGTGTCAGTAATTCCACTGACTTTGCTGAAATTCTGCTGTTCCGAAATAGTTGGGTATTTACAACCAGATTATTGGTGCAGAAATTTTGAAAAAAATCGACAGCATTGAGCTGTCACTTCAATATTTCGCTTTTTTCAATAGACCTTTCCTGTATTTCTAGAAAAAATACATCTTGAAATGTATGGCTCTGGACTATCTTGAAATAATATTTTGAGATTTTCATTCCATCAATGTATCATAGAAAAAATTATAGAAAACGCCAAAATGAACAAGTGAACTCAAATGATCAGACTTTGCCGCTAAATGTGTTACGTCAGTACTCGAGCAATTTGGATTGGTCCCTCATCTTCTCGCGGGTGCCAATAAAATGCATGATGGACTTGACGATGTTGCCAGTTTGGACAGAAAGCTATGATTAGTAGGATATTCATTAATTTTTTTTTCATTCAAGGGTTTCATAGAGATCAGGCAACAGCGGAGTGATTCCCAGCCGTCAAAACTCCAATCAATCAAATTGCAAGAAGATATTGATATCACAGCTCGGTAGCTTTTGAATTCATAGGCATTGTCAAAGAGTTTTCAATATTAAATAATTCATTCATAATTCAAACTAGAACCTACCCACACCCAAATCTTCTTCTGTGTCCTGAAAATATGTTGATTGTTGACTCCACACTACCTTTTGATGGTCAGTAATTTCAGCAGAAATCTGAGCCGCAAATATTCAGAATGGATGGTATGCCTGCTCTAATCTTGGTTTCCTTATAAGTCGAGAAGTATGAAACAAATCATCGGTTATAATTGCACGAGTGCATAAATATTACCGATAATTATGCAAAATAGCGTGTTATCTAAAAATTGCAAGTTTATTTTCATATTTTGGCGAAAGAGTCCGAAGGAGGAGGGCTCTTTTACAAAATATGAAAATGAACGAATGCAATTTATTTCATTGGAATATTTCACGAATAAAGAAATTCTTGATAGATTGTATGGATCACTCAAGAAAACGCGAAATTCCTTTCACTTTTTGGAGTCTATCTGACATTTATTTGTTCTGGCAGTGCAATCTTCACTCTGCAGTGCAATTGCCGCGGTCCAGTGCAATTACCGCTATGAGTGTTTGATAATTGCACTGCTCTTATGGACATTTAATATACGAGGGAAATATTCCATGGAGCTATCAAGTAGTTCAGAGGTGCTTGATGAAGTCAAGAAACATAGATAAACATCTCAATAATATCCATAATAGCTTTAATACTCGAGTTGAATCTTGGAATTGATAGAATCAAACTGAAATTCTAACGAAACATCATTTCATAGTCCGTTATTTTCATTGTTTCCAAGACATTAGTTAATGTCCACCTTACTGATAGCTACGTTTTTAGGCATTCGTATGTCGATTGGTTGGCTTGGAAGAATTGTATGAAATTTCCCACACTTCGGAAGTTCTTCAGTCGATTTCGTACACTCAAGTTATCTTGGAACTCTCACGTGAGAATGTCGGTGAGTAAAAATAAAGAATTTTGTCATAATTTGCTGCTAATAAATAATAAAACATAATGTTATCACTTGTGTATAAGATTTGTGTAGCATCCATGAATCGTTTGTCAACTGTCATAGTGCAACTGATGAGGTTTAGCAAACGGAAACAGACAATTTCACGAATTGATCACGATATTTTAGGATTCTCATTTAGAAAAATGCATTTAATTTATTATGAAATTCATAGAAAATTGATTCCTGTCCATAGTTTCTTTGATCACCTGGTTGCAGGTGAACTGCAAGAATTTGATGTGTTGAACTATTAAAAACTTGTTTGAAAATAACTCAATTCATAGGTTTTATAACTTAATTGTGTATATTGGTGAAATTTTGATTGTTTTACAGGTATTGATGAGAATGATCTCAGCTTGCCCATTTTCATGTACAATTTCGAAACGGGCAAATCAATCAATGAGGAATTGATACATCTTTTGACAATCGAATCTGCGTTACCTGTCATTCAAAAGGTATGTTTTTGAAAATTGTTGATATCATTGTGACTTTTCCTATTTTTTTTTTTGTTAGGAAACGATAACTGAAGTTTTTGTCTCGCATATTGAAAGCAACGGCGATGTGTATGTCCAGGTGCGCTCACAGGGATTTTTGAAGCTACAGTCGCATTTGACAGATCTAGAAGCCTTGGTCATTACTGATCCTCCTACACATCTTATATCACCAATAACGAAACAGGTACGTGAATTTTTTCCCTCCAACTTTATAAACAGCCTGTATTATATTGAAAACATATCGAGGTTTTGACGGGATCTACTATATTTTGTCTATTGAGAAAAAACTTGAAAACTCGTTTTTTTTTGTTGATGTTGATGTTTTTTCAACTCGAAACAATTTTACCCACTTTAGGGAAAATATAGATTGACACATTTTCCACCAATCAACGCATTTATTCAACTAAGAAAAAAATAATTACTCAGACTGGTATGAAATGGACAAAGAGGGAGAAATTCAAAGGCATTACCACAATAGTTCATGAGCCGGATTCACACCAGATGGTGGTCATGAATGCTATCTGGAGACACCCCTGCACTGATGAGAACCCAAAGCTCGAAACCGGTCTGCAGGTTTTCGTTTCCAGTGGCGGATCCAGAGGGGGGGGGGCACCAGGGGCAATTGCCACAGATTTCATTAATATCTGCTACCGATTCATCAATAACGTTCAGTCTGAAACATGGATTTTCATTCTGATACAGATTTTGGCAAATGAAAACACGTACTTTTCTTTATGAAACGAATTTTCGGCCTATAATAATAGTACTTTATGCAACCCTTGAGCCGCCTGTTACAAAAACTATTATTTGATTCAAAAACTCATATGTCTAAGCGGAAGGTAAATTGATAGAAAAAATATGAGCGATAGAGCGAGAGAGATAGATAAAACACTATACCTCTCACTATACACATTAATGACCATGATAAATAAGTGGATATAATTTAAACAACACTATCATTTTGTGAAAGAAAAAATCATGACATGAAATGTGATTTCACTCCCCCTCCCTCCTCCAGTTTTATGTCCAAGATGTACAGAATGGCGACCGATACAGTCCAAGTCGTTTTCATTTTCAAATTAAAGCTATTTTTAATTTTCGGGGCGGCAAACTATGACGTCTGAATCTAGTCTGAAAATAGCTGATGGTGAAGAGTATAGCTAGCGAATTGCTAACGAATGAAAAAAAATAGAAGAAGAAGTAAAACTGGTAAACAAAAACATAAATAACCACAAATGCACTCATAGCATGAATGCAGAAGGTAGTTGGCTTCATTCTGACAGGTTATGGTTTTGTTATTAATGCATTGAAATATCTCGAATAGAGCTCGATCCTAAACGAAAATATCATTGAATCAATGAATCACTATGGGCTACATGCAATGATACTACCCTTTTTAACTTCCTGCCATCGGTCAGAATAGAATGAAGCCGACACCCATGGCTCCTTCCTCTTGTTATGCCTGTCAGTATTTTGATTGGTGCAGACGGACTCGAAGTATTAAGTGCTATTGCAAGATATAATCTGCAACTTTCCTAGAAAATAGATCTGTTTTATTAAGGAGCAAACATATTGTAATATAACGATAGTGAAAAATTATAGATGCTATCGCAAAATGTCATAATTTATCTTTATTAGTAATCAACTTCATTCAGCCAATGAGAGATTTATGGGAATTATTCATAATTCTTGACAAAGTAGGTGTTGAATCTCACTTTATATTTTGTTTTTGTGTTTTGTTTCACTATGTATAAAAAAGTTGAATATATTGATCTGACAAAATTTGTCAGTCGTATTTTTGTATAATCTGAATAAAGATAAACTTTCGAGAGGTTTATTTGTGCTTTGAATCTCCGAAAGTTACATAATGGTCCTTCGATCCGGATAGAAGAACCTATTATATCCCATTGCTGTTATTATATAGTTATTATGCATTCAAAGAACAATTTCCGGGAATCTAGACATATTGATGATGTCAACAACATCGTACTGGAACAGAGAATCGAATTTCAACTCTGTGTGAATGTGAATTTTCAGAAAGAACGTCATAGGAATGGTGGAGGCGCCAAGTTCCACTTTTATTTATTTTTTTCTGAAGTGAAATTTGATCTTACGAATAACAGAAAAAATACGTATATATTAATTTTTTACAAACTTCACAGTGAGATAAAAACCACAATATAGGAAACTACCCCATTAAATGGTCTGCGTGGCGTTTAGCCAAGAAAGTAGTTGTTTTTCTCTCGGTATCAACTATTTTCATTCTCTCAGAAACTATGGTGGTAATTACTGAGTTTCTCCCTGTATGTGACATTTGTTCACTAATTTGCTTGATGATTCGTTCCAGAACAGCGAAGGTAAACTGTATTTCGGAAAATGTAAAGCAGACGGCAGTTGGTGCCGGATCCAAGCGATCGATTGGTCTCCGAAAGAAGAACTAGCTCAGATCTACTTCGTCGACATCGGTAGTACCGATGTCATCAATGTGACGGAAGAGGTTTTGTACCCTCTGGAAAAGTTGAGCGACATCCTGAGCCAGTATCCTGCTCAGGCTGTGAAGGTGAGTCGACTGTCCTTTGCGCCGCCTAAACTATTATTTATATCGTTCGTTCGATGACGTAAAGTGGACCTTATCGGGACCATTCTTGGGAATGAAAATGTTTTAGGTGAAAATGGCCGTAGACGAGATTCCCGATGATTTTCTGACTTTATCGAAGAAAGCCATGCCCGAAGATCAAGCCGTCCTTATGAAAATAATCGGCGAAAATGTGGAGAACATACCGCTCGCTGAGTTTTTCAGAAGGAACTCGGACGGAGGCCTATTTTGCATTAACAAATCGATCAGCATGGAGGCAGAAATCAAGTAAGTCATATCATTTTATTCCATTGCTTTGTGATTTATTTTGGAATAAATCTCATATAGAACACTCCATTCCATACTTCAATTATATGTCAAGAAATGAATTAGTTGGAAATATGAACAGTAATTACAAATTTCAATCCCCTGTATTGTTCTGCTACAGTCATTTAATTGAGATACAAAAGTTTATTATTTGGTACTAAAGTACCTACTATTTTATTTTTCAGAAAAGGCGATGGCAATAATAATATGAAAAACTCCAAAAGGACTTTCCAACATCTAGATGGTGCTCTGAGTAAGTACAAAAATACAGTTCATGAAACATTAAACAATTTTTGCCATTAAAAATACATCAAGGTTCGTTGATATGTGATTATTCCTTGCATACTAGGTTTTGAATTATTATCATTTCATGTCCAAAAGAAACCTCAAAGGTTTCAACAAATTGAGAATTTTAATTGGCTAGCGTTTTCTAACTACTACATTTTGAAAACAAACCGTTTTTGAACAACTGTGCAACTTTTTTCTTATTGTAATGAACGGAATCTTAACACTTTAATTTATGAACACCCTTTCGAAATAATCTGCTGTGTACTATCATTACTGCAGTCCACGTTTTTTTGTACGAGGTGCACGTGTCGGAACTTTTTTCGTAAAACTTTTTTAATTTCATGAAAAAACTCTGTATTGGACTTTTTCACCCGAATTCAGGAAGAACACCCATTAGAAATTCTCAGCTGTGTACGTTTATTATTGCAGTCCAGTTCCAAGTTTTTTATTTCCGATTTTCTCACACTAGAGCTTTTTTTTGTCGAAGTAAACTTGACATTTCAATGAGATGTTTGTTGTCTTACGATTCCATAGGAAATTTTATCTGTCAATATTTTTAGTTGAATTTCCTGAAGGCAAAAAAACTCGAATTATTAATGTTGAGGAATTTTACAATGAAACTCTGATATGACCTCATCATACTACCTCGAATATTATATATAATATTGATCTGCTATGACAATTGTTTACTTCAATTTTTATTGTGTACTGTTTATTATCCTTTCACTCTATCAATGAGTTTATTCTATATTATTGGTATAGTTATATATGTTTATGTTATGTTATACACTTTTATTCAATTTTGAATACTATGCTTTTAGACAATAAAATATATTGCTCTCTCACTCTCTAAGTTTACTTGATGGCATAGTTATTTTTATTATACTGTTTGACTCATATAAAATGAAATAATATTCTCGATAAGGCTTGAATGTAAATCAATGGGGAAATTTCCTTCACATGAATTTTCATAAAATAGGTTCGGAACTCTCCAGTTTTATGTCCACGCTGTACAGAATGGCGACCGATAAAGTCCAAGTCGTTTTTATTTTCAAATTGAAGCAATTTCTAATTTTCGGGGCGGCAAACTGTGACGTACATTCTGAATCTAGTTTAAAAATAGCTGATGGTGAAGAATATAGCTAGCAAATAGCTAACGATTGAAAAACTTATGAAAAAAATAGAAGAAGAAGTAAAACTGGTAAACGAAAACATACATAACCCCAAATGCACTCAGAGCAGGAATGCAGCGGGTAGTTGGCTTCATACTGACAGGTTATGGTTTTGTTATTTATGCATTGAAATATCTCGAATAGAGCTCGATCCTAAACGAAAATATCATTGAAACAATGAATCACTATTGGCTACATTCAATGATACTGTCCTTCCTTATTCACTGTCATCGGTCAGAACAGAATGAAGCCGACACCCATGGCTCCTTACTCTTGTTGTGCCTGTCAGTATTTTGAGTGGTGTGGACGGACTCGAAGTATTAGGCGCTGTTGCAATATATAATCTGCAACTATCCTAGAAAATAGATCCGTTTTATGAAAAAACGAATTCATTTGCAGAAAAATGACTGACAAGTTATGAATAACATATTGTTATATAACGATAGTAGAAAATTATAGATACTATCGCAAAATATCATAATTTATCTTTATAAGTAATCAATTCCATTCAGCCAATGAGAGATTTATGGGAATTATTCATAATTTTTGACAAAGTAGGAAGAACCTATCAAATCCCATTGCTGTTATGATATAGTTATTAGCATTCTAAGAACAATTTCTGGAAATCGTACTGGCACGGAGAATCGTATTTTACCTGTGTGAATGTGGATTTTCGGAAAGTACGTCTTAGGAATGGTGGAGGAGCCCAGTTCCTCTATCAATTATTTTTTTCTGAAGTGAAATTTGATCTTACGAAAAAAAAGAAAAAATACGTATATTAATTTTTTACAAACTTCACAGTGAGATAAGAACTTCCCCATTATATAATAGCATTAATCAATTCCTAACCTCCCTTCTGCATGACGTTCTGTCACCGTTCCACAACGCGAACATAGAAAGATGGAAATGGGCATCTCTCGCGTTGCAGCCACGATCAGTGTTTCGCGGAACGACATTCTATAAACAGTACTGGAAAAATCCTATGTGTTATCTTCTATCGTGTAACGGAAGTACTTGCGGTACTTTACGTTATTCAATCTATAAATCAGGGATCATAATGACAAAATCACAGCGCGGCTTATGGAATTTTTTCTACATGATTCAATCCTTCTGTAGAAAACGTCCCGTCCGGCGGTAAACTGTCACCCCCCATCATCCCCGCCAAGGGGGAGCTGTTCGAGGTGCACGTGCCGTTCGCCGTCAATCCGTACAACTTCTTCGTGCAGCCGTTGGAGTCGCGCCAGAAGCTGCACCGGATGATGGAGCGGTTGCAAGAGCGGTACAAGGACGTCCTGTACAGTCCGCTGCTGGTCGACCAGATCGTGCCCGGCAACATTTATGCCTCCAAGTTCGAGGACGGCAATTGGTACAGGTGAGAGAAGAGGAATAGAAAAACACTAAATACAAACATATTGTAATGATATTCTCCTCAGAGGGGCTCTAGAAACATCATCAGGAAGGCAGAAGTATGTATTTGTGAATAAAAAAGTTCGTCAAAGTCAAACCGAACTAATTTTTTACTGTTGAAATTAGTGTTTTGCCCAAACATTTGATCCGGCTCGAAGGATCAAATGTTTGGACAAAACCGAACTAATTTTTTGCTGTAAAAATTAGTGTTTCGTCCAAACATTTGGTCCTTCGAGCCGGATCAAATGTTTGGGCAAAACCGGACTGATTTTTTGCTGTAAAAATGAGTGTTGTGGCCAAACATCCTTCAACATCCCAATGATTCTAACATGTACCAGCGTATTTCCGAACACCCAATATATGTCGCGTTGACACATAACGTGACAGAAGATTCTGGGATATTTTCGGCGAGTGAACTATTTTTATTATTTAAAGAGAATCCTCACTCAGATACGTTTCAATTTCATATTTTTTTGTATTTTTTCCTTCGATTTTAAGGTGCTGAAATCAACAATAATGCCACGGTAATTTTCAAACTGCTAAAAATTCACCGAGTAAAATCTGACGTCACGATTTCGTAATTGACTCGGCCGTTTCTTTCTTGCAGGAGGAAGGTTCTTTTCATTTTTAGCCTTACTTACATACAATTTTCACTATTTTACGTTTAAACCCTGATGACGATGACAGAATGGGAAGATATATGTTTATCTCTCTCAAGACTAGTTGAAATCTCTATTCACGGGCGCCAGGGTCAATAGAGCAGTTCAGCTACCGTTGAGAGAGAAAAAAAAATGTCTTCCCCATCTGTCCTTGTCTTCAGTGTTCCAACATAAAATAATGAAAATATTATGTTGGCATCATTGGAAATGGGAAAAAATGGAGAAGAATATCATATTAACCTCGATATAAAAGAAGGTTAGAACGGTCTTCTTCTCCATTTCTTCTCATTTCCAGTGTTGGCAACATAAGATTTTCATTATTTCATGTTGGAACACTGAAGACAAGGACAGATGGGAAGACATTTTTTTTCTCTCTCAACGGTAGCTGAACTGCTCTATAGATGACGTTGCAATAACATTAAAAACAACGGGCATGGCTTATTTTCAATCCATGGTAGGATGTTCTCCCGTAGTTTTGAATGTCATCGAAATGTCATCTAATTGTCCTTATAAAAGTTTCAAAATGACGCATTTCAAAAACTCACAAACACCCTGTGTCATGCATGACACTTTTGCATCAAATTCACGAATATTCCCGGTGTTGCATGATTTCTTAACGAAAATCATTCCGTGTATTAACGAAATGCTGCTGCTGCTGCACTTTGGCGACACCATTAATCAAATACATGTCAACAAGTTCATAAAAAACTCGGCATTTGTGAGTTTTTAACTAATATCTATCAATTTCTTTTCAGAACCAATGTATTGAAGGTGATCCATTCGGGATCAATTTCAGTGTTTTACTGTGATTATGGGTACTATGGGAGTTTGACGGTACAGCAATTGATTCCTCTCGATTTTGAGTTTTTGGAGTTACCTTACCAGGCACTCAAAGCGAAGCTATGTGGTAAGTTCATGTCCTTTTGTTTCAAAAAGTTCACTAAATAAATTAACCGTTTTGACTAAAATTACCTTTGAACATTTTTCCAATTGTGGTCTGTCAGAATATTGGAATGAATGTGAGATTTTACCAAAAATGAACAGGGTTACTCAGCTACAAAATTTCCTCTCAAGTAAATTTTCAAACATGCCATGACTCAAATTTGACATAATTTCCAAAAACAACAAACAACGGGAAAATGTTTCAATTTGATTGAATGAATAAGTGAATTAAATTGTTTTTAATTCAGTTGAATATGAGTAGAGGGTGGTACTTATTAAGATGGCGGAGGAGTTCTGTAATTATGGTCCGATTCTATCCAAAAGTGGTATCTAGATATTTTCGGGATCAAGGATTATGATTCCTTTGTCAAAATTAGGAAATTCATCCAATATGGCGGACGAGTTTTTTTAATTGTGATTCGATTCTGTTCAAAATTTGTGTGGGTGTGTTCGGGGTCGGAGATTATGATTCTTTCATCAAAATTTGGATATTCGAGCGGAATTTGGATATTCGAGATGGCGGAACCAATATGGCGGACTAATTTTGTAATTATAATCCGATATTTTTCAAAATTGGTACCTAGGGGTTTATGATTCCTTCGTCAAAATTTAAAAAATCAAGATGGCGGATCCAAAATTGCGGATTTTGTAATTAGGATCTGATTTTATTCAAATTTGGTATCTGGTGATTCTCGGGGTCGGAGATTATGATTCTTTCGTCGAAATTAGTAAATTCAAGATGGCGGACCCAATATGGCGGAAGAGTATTGCAATTATGATTCGAATCTCTTCAAAGTTGTTTTCTGGGTGTTTGCGGGGTCGGAGATTATGATTCTTCTGTCAAAATTTGGGAAGGGCGGGATTTGGAAAATCAAGAATTTTTACCGGAGACGTAGCAGCCTACTGGTGTGCTCCTTTTGGCAATAAAAGCGAAAAGCTGACTTAGAGCGATGATATCTCGAAAACTATCTGTCCAACGGAGCTGAGTATGGTCTCATTCGATTCAGCGGGTCATTTCTTACTGGAGAAGCTATAATTCGCGATGATTTCTGCCGTTTTCTGGCACTTTCGGCCGTTTTCTGACACTTTCGGCCGTCCGAAGATGGCTCGGTGACTTTATCGTATGGAAGTCTTAGGTGGGAAAATGAAAATTTTTATTTGGCCTATTGAAAATCTGAAAAAATTCATATAGACTGATTCGATATCGAAAAGAACGAATCTGTGGTGGAAATCGGGAAATTTCGGAAAATGGAGACGTAGTAGTCTACCGGAGTGCTCCTATTGGCAAAAAAAAGCGTAAAGCTGACTTTGAGCGCCGATATCTCAAAAACTATCTGTCCTATGGGGCTGATTATGGTCTCATTCGATTCAGCGTGTCATTTTCTACTGGAAAAGCGATAATTCGCGTGAATTTCTGCCGTTTTCTGGCACTTTCGGACGTCCGAAGATGGCTCGGTGATTATATCGTATGGAAGTCTTAGGTGGGAAATTGAAAATTTTTATTTGGCCGATTAAAAATCTGAAAAAAATCACGTAGACTAATTCGATGTCGAAATTAACGAATCTATGGTGGAAATCGGGAAATTTTGGGAAATGGATACGTAGTAGTCTACCAGAAAGGTCCTATTGGCAAAAAAAGCGAAAAGCTGACTTTGTGCGTCGATATCTCAAAAACTATCTGTCCTACGGGGCTGATTATGGTCTCATTCGATTCAGCGTATCATTTTATACTGGAAAATCGATAATTCGCGTGAATTCTTGCCGTTTTTTGGCACTTTCGGCCGTCCGAAGATGGCTCGGTGACTATATCGTATGGAAGTCTTAGGTGGGAAAATCAAAATTGCTATTTGGCCTACTAAAAATCTGAAAAATTTCACATAGACTAACTCGATGTCGTTATGAACGAATCTGTGGTGGAAATTGGGAAATTTTGGAATACCGGACGAGTTTTGTAATCATAAACCGATTTTATTCAAAATTTGTAAGTGGTCGTTTTCGGGATCAAAAATTATGATTCCTTCGTCAAAATTAGAGAATTCAAGATGGTAGATCCAATATTGAGGTCGAGTTTTGTAATTATGTTCCTGATTCTATTAAAAAAATTTCATCTGGGGTTTTAGGAGTCGGATATTATGATTCTTTCGTCAAAATTGGGAAATTCGAGTGAACTAAAAATAAGTCGAAATAAATGGTAGTTTGAAAAACTAAAGAAACACGCTTTTATAGATAGCGAATTTAAAAAGAAGTAGAAAATAAAATAATAATAGTGTCTTGATGAATATTGAACTGAAAAAATATATTATAGAAACAGGGTTGCCATGAATTAATTCATATGAATTAAGTCAGTGATTTAATTCGTGAATTAATTCAAATGACTTTTTTCAAATAAGTCGTGAATTGATTCAAAATTTATCAAATGGTAACAAATCGCATTATTACCTTCAATTTAAACTACACACGCGGAAAACTCTGGATCTGATAAATGAATGATTCGTCATTAATTTTGAATAATGTAAAATATTCCACTATACTACCTGCTGCCACAACATCAACATTTCGCAAATATTCCAGACGTGGTACCGAAAAACTCCAAATGGACCATGGAAGACTGCGATCATTTCAAGGAGCTAGTGGAGAAAAAGAACTTCTACTCGTGGCTGATCGACATCGAAAAGGACCAGCTGTACGAGTCCGATCTCGTTCTGAAACTGAGGCTCATCGACACCTCCACCTCCGATGAGGACATCTTCATCGGCAACGAGCTGATCAAAGAGGGCATTGCTGTCGAATCGGACGGTCTTAGGCCAGCTTGAGGCGTTTTTCTCTAGTTTTTTTTTTGTCTTCCGAGACAGGACATTTTTTCTATCTCTCTGCATCGTGAAAGTTCGTGGAATGCTCAAAAAGACTTTTTATTATACACCGTGTCCAAGGATATCGGAAAATATGTGATACGAAGTTGGTTGAATTAGAGAAAAGTTGCGCATTTTCAAGCCTGACAATATGCCGTTTTGAAACTTGAAAAATTCTGGAGGAACCGAAATTTGCCCGATTCGTTTTTATTTTTTCCTGACGTTATTTGAAGTGATATAGGAAAACAACGACACTTTCTCATTTCCACTTTTTAATTTCTACAAGGTGTATACCTTTTAGGGTTCATATAAAAAATAAAGATGACGGTTTCTCCGAACCGAAACGTCATATGGAAAATCTCTCAACGCTGTTTTGTAGAGCTTAAAAAGTTTCAATGAGAAAGTGTCTTTCTTGTTTTCCTATATCTCTTTAAATACAGTCAGAAAAAAGAATAAAATCGGTTTTTATGCTCCGGTTCTACACGAAATTTCGAAACTTTCTTAATGGCACATTGTTAGGCTTGAAAATGTGCAACTTTTCTTCAAATTAACCATCTTTGTATCCCTTACGGTTTCCGCCTCATCCATTTGGACACACTGTACATATTGCGCTTAAATGTTTTTTATAGCTTTATAGATACGCGGTGTTTCAATACAAATGGTGGCAAATTTTGCAACCACTTGCACAATCTGTTCTTTTTTTTTGTAGACAAAAGGGATAATTTTTGTGAAATTTGAAGCTCAAATTCCATGAAAATATTCAGTGTGGACTCGCCTGTTAGTCGATGGACATTTCCAGTGAATTTAAAAAGAAACCTCACAACAAATAATGTTTCCACAATATTCTTGAAAGCATGAAATACTGATACTGACCTAACATTGACTCAGAACAATAAAAAAAATGGACCAGAAAAAAAAGATATGTACCACATTGATCGCCCTGTAACTTTCCTAATACTTTTCCGTTTCTGGTGAAATTCCGACGGAATCGTAGATTTGTGTTTCTGAGCGTTTTTAATTTCCAAAGAAAGCTGCGGGGTTGATCACATACAGGGAGAAAGTTGATAAGACATCCATTTGGACATACTGTACATATTGCGCTTTTTCATAGCTTTACAGATACACGCGGTGTTTCAATATAAATGGTGGCAAACTTTGCAACTACTTGCACAATCTGTTCGTTTTTTTTTGTAGACAGAAGGGATAATTTTTGTGAAAATTGAAGCTCAAATTCTATGAAAATATTCAGTGTTGACTCGCCCGACCCTCGATAGATATTTCCAGTGAATTTAAAAAGAAACCTAACAAAAAATAATATTTCCACAAGATTCTTGAAAGCATGAAATACTGACCTAACGTTGTCTTGCCTGTCTGATACAATCACAATAAAAAAAAAACGGGCCAGAAAAAAATGATACCAAATTTGCTCGCCCTGTAACTTTCCTAATTCTCGTCCGTTTCTGGTGAAATTTCAACCGAATTGTAGGTTTATGTTTCAGAGCATTGGCCTGAATTTTAATTTCCAAAGAAAGCTGCGGGGTTGATCATATACAGGGAGAAACAAAAGTTACTTTTTCACCCTTACTTTCTTGACGCCCTGTGGGAAAGGCGAGCGGTTAAACTTAGCTTCATTATATTTTGGATTGGAGTTTTAACGGTTTTTGACTAATTTATGCCAGTAAATCACTCTTGTTAGCGAAATATGTTCTGTTTATAAGAATTTTGTGGGAATTTTAACGTTGTGTGAAGTTTTTTTTCACTTTCACTAAAAAAGTATATTGAATAAAAATAATGCAATAACGAAAATAAATGACTGAATAAATTAGATGTTACAGTGGAGCAGCTTAAAAAAAATCCCAAGTACTTATTTCGGCAACTAAGTGCCATCCTCAGTATACAAGAAAACTAAAAAAAAAAAGATATAGCTGACTCTCATAATATCTTTAGTCAGCCAATTCCTTTTTTAGGTTTCAGGTGTCCTAAAGATGACAACACATGGCCGAAATATTCAGTTGTGTTTTTTTAATAGCTATACCGGGGGTACCAAGTTATCGTATACAGGCAATATCTCGCTTATTCGACAAGATAGATGAAAAATTCAAAAACATCATTGAATGGCATTGAAATATACCTTCTTAATGACATATAAAAAAGAATCTATTATATTTGACAGTTCTCTAGCAGCTACCCCCTACATTTCATTTTCAAATGGCATCCTCTGTATATTGTATTGAAAATCAAATGTCACTCAATTTGGAATACAACTGGTATTTTTTTATTGATAACAAAAATATGAACATTTTGTTTCTTACTCAATTATCCTTATAAAAATAATAAAAGCCGATGCAAGTATATGTTATCGTTGTATCCCTTTTAGGATGGCACGCAATCTTCAATGGCAATATACAGGGTGTTACATAATTCAATACAAATATTTTAATGACATGTTCCTGGGGTCAAAATAAGACTTTTTTTTCTATAAACATGTGTCCTAAAATCCACCCCCTCCAAGCTACAGACATCGCAAGATGCGCAAAAAAAATCTTAAATTTTGAATTGTGGCTACAATTATGCATCAAATATTTTGAAAATTCACAGGCACTTGTATTTTTAGACGATCTATTCATTTGTTGATTCAAAAATAAGGTAACTCGAATCGAAAGGGGTGAATGAGGGTTGCATACAGATTTGATGGGGTGGATTTTAGGACACATGTTTATAGGAAAAAAAGTCTTATTTTGACCCCAGGAATATGTCATTAAAATATTTGTATTGAATTATGTAACACCGTGTATATGGGGGTGCCATTTGGAAATAAAAAGTGGGGGATAGCTGCCAGAGAACTGTCAAATGTAATAAATTTTTTATATGTCGTGAGGAAGGTACTTCAATGCCATTCAATGCAGATTCTTAATTTCTTAATTATCTTGCCAAATAAGCGAGATATTGCCTGTATACGATAACTTGGGACACCCGGTATATATTTTCCTTATATTTGAAATTCGTCATTCGCGAATATTATCTCTTGTTTTCTATGCAAAATAGGTTTCCATTTCATATTTGCTATAGGTACATCTACACAAGGTGATCTACAAGCTTTGTCACTATTAAAAATTGGCAGATTAGAAAAAAAAAACTTGATTTTTTTGAGCAGCATTCCATTTTTATATAGGGTGAGTTTTTCAAAGTGGGACATGACGTTATCGACATCAAGAATTATTGAATTGCTACCAGTGTGAGATAACCAGTTGTGAATCGCTATATTATAATCCAAGAGCGCTTTTTATATAAATAATATCAAAAGAATATCCACATGGTACGTAGGTACTTTTTACAAACATTTCCTTGTATTATTTTATCGGAAATGTGTGCAAGAGATGCACCAATTGATAATATTATCATTATAATTACCGTTTTTTTACCAACAAACTGAATGTTACGTTTAATTTTTATCTACATAAGGTACTGTTATTTTGAGAATAAGCGTTTCATACAAACGACAAATTTGCTAAACTTTTTGCTTCTGTTTTTTCTAGACTGGCGAACAACTTTGATTACAAAAAATTCTTTGCAATGGTACGATATTGGCTTTCACCATATTTTTTTGTATATTTTCTGCTTTCAGTTGGAAAGAATCAGACATTTCATGCTACTTATTGGCAGCAAATACTGTCAAATTGAATGTCATTTGTCAAACGTACTGTCTTATGTCAATGCCATTTATAAATGGTTTGAAACATGAGGGAGAGAGAAGTGTATTATTATTATCTGCAATAATAATCAATTGATTAATTTTTGATCTGATAGGTATAGGATAATTTTGACAGTATCGACGATTTGATTCACATTTGACAGCTGTTTATTGCCAACGAAATGCCTTGAAAATATATGGTCAATTAATAAGCATACAGATTGTTTTAAACAATTAACAAATAATTTTACATAAAATCAATATAAACTTATTTGACATGAAACTCTGTCAGTTATTTTATCACAGTCTCTGTGTTTTCTGATGCTTTATGTAAATGTTCAAATTTTTCGCTTGTAACTTACGGTTTTCAATGCACATGCATACTTTTTTGAGTTAGGTATTTTTTGTTGTTATTGCATAAGAACTATTGCCTCTATTGTTATTTGTATGAAACCAAGTATATTATACTCAATCCAGTCAAGATTTGTAGTTTTTTTAGATACTTGTTGATTTGTTTTGAGTTTATATGTTTGTTTTTGGAACTACTCTATTTGTTGAATAGACTGAAATCACTATTAATGTCATACATATATTTTGTAGAAAATAAAAGGAAAATCAGTTTCAATTTGTTTGATTACTACTTTTTTGTTGAACCCACCTTTGGGATGTGTTGGGAAAGTTTCCAGCGATTTTGAGCTTCATGTGTTTCTTAAAACCGGCAGTGATAGAACAAAAATTGTTGCGTGATGAGCAATTTGGTATACTAGCTGCCCACCAATTTTCAAAACCCTATCTCGAATAATTCAAAAGTTACAGTCCTGGCCGTTTTTTGTGCACTTCTCTGTATATCTCGAAAACTTATGGAGGTAAAGAGAAATCCATTACACAATCGTGACGTCGATATGACGTAATTTCCATGACGTGATAATCACGTCATCATTATGACGTTGAATAAACCTTACTTGGATGGGTAAAATACGACGGGCGTTTCATGACGTTGCAGGTGCGTCATGTTAACGTCATGTTTATCTAAAGTTATCGGTATCAGTGCATATAATATATATATATATACAGGTTGTTCCAAACTTATGGCCTATTAAACGTTTCTGGTGCAGTGTGTAACAGGCTAACATGTCACAAGAAAAATTATGCTTAATATTTTGAGGCGCATTTATTTTTCCTGAAATTGCCTATATCTCGGAAACTATGAGATATAAAGAAAAACCGGTCTCATAATCTTGTTCAGCACATCGAGAACACCCTGTATACAAGTTTTCAGCCCATTCTGAGACCTGTCAATAATCGAAAAAAGTTCAAAGGGGTTAACCTTCTTTCATTTTCAGACCCAAAAATCAACTTTGTCCTAGAGCGATCAAATTTGGTATTTAGGGCCCTTTTGGCATCCTCTAGTGCGGAATAAGAGCATAGCTCTCTAGTCCCAAAATTTAAAAAACCCAATTTTTGACCCCCTTTCGGACCGAATTTTTTATGCACTCAATACCTTTGAAATGAATGCAAAATCGAGTTCAACGCAGTATTTTGGAGACGAATTGGGATGTGTTGAAGAAGTTTCCATCGATTTTCAGCTAAAATTATATTTTACAAAATTGACCATATTTCGAAAACTTTTAGAGATTAAGAAAAACCGTTTTCATATTATTGTTCAGCACGACGAGAACACCCTGTATGTAAGTTTTCAGCCCATTCTGAGACCTGTCAATAATCGAAAAATGTTCAAAGGGGTTAACCTTCTTTCATTTTCAGACCCAAAAATTAACTTTGTTCTAGAGCGTTCAAATTTGGTATTTAGGGCCCTTTTGGCATCCTCTAGTGCGGTCTAGAAGCACAGCTTTCTAGGCCTACAATTGAAAAAAAGGTAATTTTTGACCTCGTTCCGGATCGAATTTTTTATGCACTCAACAGCTCTGGAATGAATGCAAAATCGAGTTCATAGCAGTATTCTGGAGACGAATTGGGATGTGTTGAAGAAGTTTTCATCGATTTTGAGGCGCATTTATTTGTCCTAAAATTGCTTATATCTCGGAAACTATTAGAGATAAAGAAAAATCGGTCTCATATTCTTGTTCAGAACATCGAGAACACCCTGTATGAAAGTTTTCAGCCCATTCTGAGAACTGACAAAAATCGAAAAATGTTCAAAGGGGTTAACCTTCTTTCATTTTCAGACCCAAAAATCAACCATGTCCTAGAGCGTTCAAATTTGGTATTTAGGGCCCTTTAGGCATCCTCTAATGCGGACTAGAAGCACAGCTCTCTAGTCCCAAAATTTAAAAAAGGTAATTTTTGACCCCCTTTCGGACCGAATTTTTTATGCATTCAACAGCTCTGAAATGAATACAAAATCGAGTTAATAGTAGTCTTCTGGAGACGAATTGGGATGTGTTAGAGAAGTTTTCATCGATTTTGAGCCGCATTTATTCTTCCTAAGGTTGCTTATATCTCGGACACTATTAGAGATAAAGAAAAATCGGTCTCATATTCTTGTTCAGCACATCGAGAACACCCTGTATACAAGTTATCAGCCCATTCTGAGGCCTGTCTGGATACGAAAAAAGTTCAAAGGGGTTAACCTTCTTTCATTTTCAGACCCAAAAATCAACTTTGTTCTAAAACGTTGAAATTTGGTATTCAGGGCCCTTTTGGCATCCTCTAGTGCGGTCTAGAAGCACAGCTCTCTAGTCCCAAAATTGAAAAAAAGGTAATTTTTGACCCCGTTTCGGACCGAATTTTTTATGCACTCAACACCGCTGAAATGAATGCAAAATCGAGTTCAAAGCAGTATTCTGGAGACGAATTGGGATGTGTTGGAGAAGTTTTCAGCGATTTTTAGGCGCACCTATTTTTCCTAAAATTGCTTATATCTCGGAAACTATTAGAGATAGATAAAAATCGGTCTCATATTCTTGTTCAGCACATCGAGAACACCCTGTATGCAAGTTTTCAGCCCATTCTGAGAACTGTCGATAATCGAAAAAAGTTCAAAGGGGTTAACCTTCTTTCATTTTCAGACCCAAAAATCAACTTTGTCCAAGAGCGTTCAAATTTGGTATTTAGGGCCCTTTAGGCATCCTCTAATGCGGACTAGAAGCACAGCTCTCTAGTCCCAAAATTTAAAAAACACAATTTTTGACCCCCTTTCGGACCGAATTTTTTATGCATTCAACAGCTCTGAAATGAATACAAAATCCAGTTAATAGTAGTCTTCTGGAGACGAATTGGGATGTGTTAGAGAAGTTTTCATCGATTTTGAGCCGCATTTATTCTTCCTAAGGTTGCTTATATCTCGGACACTATTAGAGATAAAGAAAAATCGGTCTCATATTCTTGTTCAGCACATCGAGAACACCCTGTATACAAGTTATCAGCCCATTCTGAGCCCTGTCTGGATACGAAAAAAGTTCAAAGGGGTTAACCTTCTTTCATTTTCAGACCCAAAATTCAACTTTCTCCTAGAGAGTTCAAATTTGGTATCCGGGGCCCTTTTGGCATCCTCTAGTGCGGTCTAGAAGCACAGCTCTCTAGTCCCAAAATTGAAAAAAAGGTATTTTTGACCTCGTTCCGGACCGAATTTTTTATGCACTCAACGTACCGTATCGGGTCAATTTTTTTCCCTCAGTTTCCAGAAATTAACGCAAAATCACGTTTCTGCAGAATATTTCAAGAGCTTCAGTATTTTTTTAGCTGAATAAGACAAACTGCGAATAAATGAAACTCCATAGTTTGTAATTATTTATTTTATTATTAGGTACGTTACAATATAACATATATGTTGCTATAGTATTCATACACCATACGCATGTAAATCATTAACAATAAAAAAATGACAATTCTAGACTACGTTTTGAAAAACCGCATGTCACCTTCAGAGTAGATAGTCCCCGAAATGCATGCTAGACGCAAAAATGAAAATTTGATGGCGGCATATTTATTTATAAGTATTTAGAATGAAATCAGTGCCTGGAACCTCTTATTGCGTTTTGCTGCAATAAGACCGGACCTTGCGGGAATCTAACAGCATGAAAGAGACCAAAAACAAAGGCTACATCAAATGTCTCGAAAAAGTGAAATTATAGCGCGGCAAAGTTCCAACAGATTTTCAGTTATTTGTGACATTACCTATCGATATAAAACCACGCACACGTGACACAAAGATACTCTGACCCAGAAAACTACATAATTCAGTTTTCCACACCAGGGGCGAATGATACACAAGCAGAGAGAAGTCACTAGTCATTGTGCTGGGTATTTTCCATTCTATCATGTCCCACCCCGTATATATATTCAGCATATAGATTTGTTTAGTACTTTGGCCCTATATAGTTATTTGGTAATTGTATTACCCTGTATAAAATAACATTTGATTTTATTGTTAACAT